TATTCTAGCCAAAATCCAGATAAACAACTGGATATGTTCGGTCTATTTCGGACAGTTTAGGTCATGTTCATGGGTGTAATTCCGGGGTCTAGGGCAATCCGGTCGACGCGAAATCTCGCAAGCCTTGGTCTTTTCCAGGCACTGGGAGGTTTGTTCCGGCGAGAGGAGGCGAGGAAGATTGGCCTGCTTCGGGATGTGTGTCCCTTAAAAGTATTCTCTAATAACTTGTTTGCTATAGAGTAACGGATCTTTAGACTTCAGCTTTTTGGTTGAGCTCCTTTTTTTCTAAAAAATGAAGCCACAAGCAGTGGTCAGCTTTTTTTGCAGAGGGGTCAACAGAGTCGACAGCAAACAAGTTAAGACATTAAAAAAACACAAGAACAAGTAAGGGTTGTTGTTTCGGGTCTAGGTAACCTTCCAGAAGGAAAGGTTCTACAAGTTGTTTGCCCCACCAAAGCGGCCCGGGAATGCAAGAGATGTGGGTTGACCCATGGGTTCGAAGAAAGTTGGTGACCCTCAATATACCTTTAAACTAGGTTATCGCTCCAACATTAGAGGGTGAATTCCATTTTTATGGGTAGTTTGAGGGTCCAGGTGCCAAGATTTGTGGCTGCACATTTTGGTTGGCTCTGCGTTCGGGGAGCAATCAGGTACCCTTCAGACACTTGAGAAGCAGCGTTGCATAAAGGGAGGCCCCTTTTTAGGCTGTATTCTTGAAAACATGTTCTCATTCCCTGAGTTTATGGACTTGAAGTTTTGGGGATGAATACCCAGAACAAGCTTGAGATTGCTTCCGTTCGCAGGGTGGCCCTTCTTTGCTTCCCCAGAATTAGTTCCCCTTTTCTTTTCTTTTTTTGCTTTTTTGGGGTTCCTTTTGTTTTCCACCAACAAGGCCCAAATAAACTTTTTGCTGGGGTCCTAATTCCAGCCAAGTTTATCCAAAGTTTGTCCCCCCACTGCTGCTTTTAAGGACGTCCGATTGAGGGAACCTTCCTTTTTTCGTATCCGGGCCCTTGAAACAGGGCTCTCTAGATTCGAATCGAAAGACATTTCGCTGGCGGATCCCCATGCCTTACCGTGGACCTTCGGGTATGGGGCTAGGGGTCTAGGCACTTTGAGTCATGGCCTCAAAAGGTGGGAGGCTTCCGGACATTGCATGGTTGAAGTTGGGAAACAGTTTTCCCATTTCTGCTTATTGTGGCTTAGTGGTTGAAATCCAACCACTTAACTGCTAAAATTTAAATTGTTGCTCCCCTTCCAACGTCAACCAAGATTGGGTCCTTAGAGGAGCGTTTTTGGGGGAGCCTCAGGACACTTTGCTGGAAGACTGCGAGGAGGTGGGAATCCGGGTCTTCATGTGGTGGTTTGCAGGATTCCCCGTGCTCTTTTCTTGATGCAGGGTTCCCTATGTCCAGCTTGCTTGGTGGTGAGGTTCCAATTCATTCACCTTCTCTCCACCAATGCGAATCCACCAACTAGAGGGAAGCTCATACGTTTCCACGTTCGCCTTCCCGGCCAGCTCATTTAGCGAGCTTCCCCAATTTCGGGGGAGTGCCTGAGGAGTTGTTCGGAACGCCTTCCGAGAAATGAAGAACCGCCTCCCATTTCAGATGGGCTGCTGAAGCTTTTTGGGCACCACTTTCTGATACTCCGCGATGTCCGGGCTGGCCCAACGCAGGGTGCCCGACGGTTTTGGGCTGGATGCAGGGGAAGCCAACCAAGGAATTTGAGAGCGAACGGGTTTCAAGCAGGCCCGCAGCTTCTCAAACCTGGGCTCTCCTCCGAAACTATGCTAACTTTTCGGGGTAGACTACATATGAAACAGAGGGCAATATGTGTTTTTTGGTGTACCCCCATTTTTTTATAGGCTAAGAAACGTGGGTGACTTGTGTTGGGCATGCAGTTTCCTCCTGGAAAAGCGGGCTTTTCCCCGGGCGGCGCAGGAGAGCGTCATGGAAGACGATGAGCTTTCACTGGACCGGGGCTCGGGGCGGTTCTGCCGTTTTTTTGCAAACCGGGCTGTACCCTCCAGGGTTGTGGGATCACACGGGGTTTATCCAACCACTTCTGTGATACTTGCGGGGGGTTCGTCTTTGGGAGTCCGTTTCCGTTGTATCACAGAAGTGGATTGCATTTCCCACAGCCCTGCTCCAGAGAAACATGGAGCCCACAAAGCCATCATGAAAAAGATGTTGAGAGGCAAACTGAGAATTGGGGATTCCATGTTGATTTGTAGGGGAGTTGTTGTTCTTGATGACTCGACTGGCACCATGTCAGTCAAGGGTTCGCAGTCAAGCATCTTTTTGGGGGGGACGCCCTTCCCCCCAAAAAAGAAAGAAAGAGGTGATTGTCCTTTTCATTTCCCTTCAAGTATGTTTTACCGGGGCTCTCTATTGTGGCATGTCGTCAAAATAGGGTGACCTACGGAGACCTCCCAATGTTTTTGTTTGTTTGTTTTGTTTGCTTCTTTCGAAGCTGAAAAGGCCACTCGAAAAGGCGCGTATTCGCCGTATTCGATGCGAACGGTTTTGAAATTCAAGAAATTCCGGGGTTTCTTAGGTGGTGCGAAGTGGATTTCGTCCATCCGCAGTGGGTCTGACGTTGTTGTTTTCCTCCGGTGGGAGACGACAAGTTGCCCTTGGGCAACTCATGCAGCTTGGCGATCGAAGCTTTTTTTTCCAGCGCAGCGCTTTTTGCGAAACCTCATTGGCCGAGTCCGAAGGCAGCGGTGCGTCGGGTTGGAAGTGGTTGCCGCCTCGTTGCTGAACGGGCAAGAGGATTCAACGCGAAAAGGGGAAGTAAAGAACCCCAGCCTCCCACCCCAAAACCGGGCCTTTTTGCCTTTCTTCGTGCCTTACCTTTCTTTTTCTTCGGCCCTTGGAGTCCAGGCCGTGTTGGAAAGAAAAAACGCTTCATGACAGACAGCTGGCGCTCGACCCGAGGATGGCATGTCGCCGAGCCCTCCGGCCACAGCCCTGGTGACCGCAGACGCCTTTTTTTGGCGAGAGGCATGGATGCACCTGGTGATGCTTGATCACGTACCCCATCCGTTAGCATAGCACTTCTGGCAAGGCCGGAAGAGGAAATTCCTCTTTAAAGAACTTGTCGGGTGCCATGTCGGGAGGAATTGTATCGAGTATAAGTTTGGGGGCAAGTGGGGGCCGACCCCCGAGCCTCTTGGCACCCAATGGTGGTTTTCCTTTTGGTTTCCCGTTGAAACCAACCCCCAAAAAAGACAGCCACATGGACCATAAGTGGTGTGCGTTTGTTTGTTTGACACTCTCTTTTTGAAGCGCTGTCCAACCTTTGAAACGGAAAGGGGAACCGTTGGTCCGAGAGTGGCTTGAGCCACATGTGTTGGGGTACGTGGGCCACCTGGGCAGGTCAACATCTACTCAGCACCCGGGTCCCAACTTGCCTGCTTTTTCAACCATGTCCACTCCAATTTGAAAAGCAGGCAAGTTGGGAGGGGTGCTGGACTGGAGAGATCAAAATCATCAACCTTCCTTTTTCAATCACACGTAAGCACGTGGGGTCGAAAATCTTGACTTGTTGATGTTTATCGTCACAGTTCTTGGCAAGTTTTGATAGTTTTTGGTTTGTTTGGCTTTGTTCATGTTTGGTTACCATGACTGGGAGTTATCCATTACTTGAGTGGCACTAGTTCGTCGAATCAACAACGCAGTCCCGGCCACCAAATGCACCTTCGGGTTCTAGGCTCGCTTCGGCTCTCTGACTGCCTCTGAATGCCTCAAGCTTACTTTTGCGACTTGTCGCCCTTTCTGAGTTTATGGACTCTAATCTTTCTGGTTTTTGCCTCTTTCCGTGGCAAGCAGCAAGTTCTGTGCTTGTTGGCCAGTCCACTGAATCACAATTGAGCTGCGATTGCTTCAACGGTTGAAACCACCCCCTGCTCAAGTTTGGTATGGAAGAGTTTGAAGAGCTCGGAGTTTGCCCCACTCCTTTCTTTCATCAGTCAGAATAACCCCTGGGTTCCTTTTTTCCCCCAATTAAAGGAACGGTTGACCCAATTTGGATGAACATCCTTTGGTAAACAGTGGCGGACATCTTCACCCCCATTCTTTAGTGGTGCTTTGAGCCCCAGGGATAACGGGAAAAAGGCGATATGCTTGCTAAGGTCCATGAAACTGATGGAAAGTGTCCCAAAGGCCATGCCTTTGAAAAGGGTAGACTCAACAAAGCACCGATACACGGCAACTTCGGAGTTCCAACAAAAACCCTTCCATGTGCTGAAGTGAGTATGTGTCCTCTTGTCCACCTGTTTCCGACATAAACCACGCAGGCAACTTGGCAAGTTGTGTGCTGGATGGAAGTTGCTTTCCTTGGTCGGTGCTCACCTTTCCGCCAGCTTGCCACTTGGCTGTGGCTCAAAACACCACCAAAATGGCAAGCGCCTCAGTAAGTGGAAACATGGAAACCAAAACCCGCGGTTGGCCCCTCCTGCTTAATTTTGAGCCGCAGCCACTTAGACGCCCAAGGGAAGAAATCCACCACGGGATCTTGGGATCCCATTCCGTGAAGCAAGCCTACCCCTCAGAAAGGGATTGACTTACCCGATTATGGGGCAACAACCCATGTACGTTCTGGAATGTTTTAAGCGTCCATCCCGTTTTGTTTCTTTCCCATTAAAAAATACCTGATGCAAAAAAAACACCCCTCCCGTGTTTTGAGGCTCCATGTGGACTTTGTGTCCCAGACAGTACCTGAACTAGGTCCCCCAGTAGTGCCCTTTTACCCTTTTTCGGGGGGAGGGTTCACCTACTAAAATACACTGCAGAAAAAGATCGGGTACCCTTACAATAACCTCTCAAATCTGGAGGATCTAGATACTCACTCCTTTGACAACCAGTCCTGTTACTAGGAGGGTGCCGTGATACTAACTCCCAGGAGAAAAACCTGAAGCAAAACGCCAAACCCATCGTTTTGAGGCTTCATCTGGACTTTTTGTCCCAGACAAAACCTGAAGCACAACGCCAAAAGCCTCGCGCCCCTTTTCGTCGCGGCCGAAGGGCCGACGCCTCCACCCGATGCCATGGCCGCGCTGCGTAGCGCCGGGGAGCGCGGGGACGCCGAGGCGCTGCGGAAGGCCCACGCCGAACGCCGCGGCGTTTTTTTTCGAGCGCCGGGAGCGTGGGAAGTCCGTAAGCGGAGGGCGGCTTTTGGTTGGTGAGCCAGAATACTCACTTCAAACTAGTTCCGTTTCGGAGCTTTTGCAATTTCTTGTTATTTTTGGGGGGTGGAGAGTTAACTTTTGTCAGGTTCCGGGTGTGTTGGGGTGGTTTTGTTTGCTTTTGGTCTCTCCTTTTGGCGCCCCTTGTTGGTGTTTAGCCTTCTTCTTACTTCAACGAGTTCCTGGATCTTTTTTTTCCAGAATTTTGGTTGCCATTTGAGTGGCTGGCACAAAAAATGTGGCGACTTTTTCTTCTCAGGAAGTGAGAGGAGCACCTGTCAGATGTTAGCACCGGGGCCAGGACGGCGGCACAAACGCCAGGGCCTACAAACATCAGCTTCCTGTTGGTGTGATGTAGGGACTCTGTTGCCCAAAGCGAATCGACCTTTTGACCTTTTGGTTTCTCCGTTTTGGGCTAGTTTTAGTCATGGCCCCAAAAGGTGCACCTTTTATTTCTGGGTCCCTAAGGGGCAAGTGAGGGGAAGCTGTTTCCACTGGGCGCAATGGTTGGGACACACGTGGTTTCAGGGCCATGTCCCGTGATAGGAACTGGAATGGCCGAGGTATCGCGGAAAGGGTCAACTTGCACAGCCACGGTCACGCAGGTATTTGTACGTTATCAGGTGTTTTGAAGGGTTTCCACACGTGGTGACTTTGGGGGGTGCATTCCGTGGCCTCTTGCATTATCAGGTGTTGGTTGTTTTGTTTGTTCAGTTCTGCCTGGGATCAAGATACAAAGGTTGCGCCTGGAACATCCCTTGGAGGGTGACCCCCTGGGGTTTTCCATGTGCCGCTTCATCTTAGTGGGGAATCTTAGAACAAGGAAATTGCCGCGGGAAGCTTAGAATAATTGGAATTGTTGGGCTTCCACTCCTGAATTTTGCAACCACCTACTTTTCGGAGATGTTTTCTTTAGTGTCTTGGCTGAATGCACTAGGTGTCCATACCATGTTATTTCTCACCCTTCTTTATCCTGAGTCTCACTGTCTCACCCCACCAGCTCCTATTCCTAGAGGGTAGGCCCTGGTTGCCAGGCACTGGATGCCGCGAGCAGCAAGGACATCAATGCGCAGGACACCGGTTTCCCGTTTTGTGGCTTAGGGGCTTGGCTGGGTTGAAAAATGGGTTGCGACCACCAGGCCTTTTGCGCCAAACGGAAGCCAAAGGCAGTGGATAGAAAATAACAGGCTAGTTGGCCAAAGCGAACCGACCTGAAATGACCTTTTGTCTGCCATTTCTTCCCCAGAATTAGCTCCCCTTGTTGCTTTCTTGCTTTTTGGGGTTCCCTTGGTTTTCCACTAACCAGGCAAAAAAGAGATTCTTCTGCGTCCCCTTCTTCCAGCCAAGTTGTCTGCCATGATTGCCAGGTCCTTTGGACCGATGTCTCAACCAGAGTTTGAGACGCCCCTTTGCCCTAACATGAGGCGCGAGTTGGCCTCCACAAGTTGCTGGAGCCTGGCCCCAAATGGCCGTTCTTTTTTTGGTACTTGGGAAGACCATGGTTTAGTAGGCAACAGGAGTTTGGGGAGCCCATTTTGGTGGCTTTAATCAAAAAGTTTGGTTATTTGTTTTGGCCAATCCACTCAGGAAGTGAGACAAGGGTTTGGACTTTTATTTGGCAAAAGAAGCTCGGGATGTGAGTAGCACCCAAGGGGATCCTTTTCGTATTGTTGCCCACTCGGCGACTAGCAAGCTGTTTGGGAGAGAGGGTCAGAAACACTTGGTATCTCGCAGTGTTGGGCTCGGACTGTATGAGAGAGAGCGGGGGAGAGAGGGAGAGAGAGAGCCCAGCAAGGGCTCCCGCTTTCCACCCTTTGGGTCATTGAGCAAGTAGCTTGGCCGGCACCTAACGACGCACACCCCTAACACAGCACACCGATTTGTCGCGAGTGATCTGAGGGAGTGCACAGAGAAGACTTACACAGGTGAGATATAGCCACTGCTCCACATCAGCCAGGGTGTAACAACATCCTGAGATTGATCGAAGACCTACCCTCCCCGGCCCTAGGGGCCCCGAAGCAAAACTTGTTAGCATTGCCAGACTGAACTCCGCGATTTGCCTGGTTGCCTTTTGGAGTTCCTTCAACTTTTATTTAAACGAGCAACAAGTTGTCACTTTTTAAGCCTGGCCATGTCCGCCCCAGTTTTCTTAATTTATTTATGTTGTTTTGTTTTTTTTGGGGGGGGGGAAGGGGGGGGGGGGGGGGCGATTGGAATCGGACCGAAGTTTTCGGCTACTTGGTTGTTCGACCAAGTTAGTACGTGGTTAGCCGCCTTACGACCTACTACTGACTAGGTGAACCCCGCTTAGGGGCATGTCTAAATGGGGTTATGACCTAGGTTACCGACAACCATGGACTACAACAACTTTTTGAGAAGACCAAAATTAGTGGCAAACAAAAAGGGCAGAGTTGTTTTGGCCAATCCAGTGAGAAAGTGAGACAAGAGTTTGGACTTTAGTTTGGCAAATCATAGCCCAAGATATATAGTTCCCCTGCAAATACCAACCATTTAACTGGTTTCCCATGGTTTCAAAATTGTGAAATCGAACGGATCCACAGGTTTGGTTATTGACAATATGGGTATGGGTCAAAATTACACCACCAGGGGACCGCAGGTTTTGGTCCATGCTTCCATTTACCAGGGCAAGCCATTCTGGGTACCTATTTTTGACCCACAGCCATTTACTAGCTCGTCAATTGGCGAATCGAAGTCACCGTAGGACCTTGACTCCGACCTTACGCCTTTGGCGCTGGCAGCGCAGGGGGGTCACACGGCCTGCGTGCGGCTGCTGCTGACAGCACGTGGCCTGGAGGAGAACAAAAAGGCCAACGGGTGAAACCTCGGTGAACGAGCTCTGGTTTTTGGAGCCAATTGGGGTGCTTGTCCAAACCAAACCCTCACTCTCCAAGTTCCTGGACTTTCGTAACTCTGGGCTGGTTGGCATTTTCGTGTTGGTTAACAAGTTTTTAGTTTGTTTGAAGGGGCTGTGTTTGGGGGAGGGGCTGTGTTTGGGGTGTCCCCTTCATGGGCTTGTGATTGTCTGAATTCAGCCAAGTTTTCCAAAGGGCATTCAGGGCTTCGCCGTGCTCTGATTGTGTCTTGTTTTGAATCTTTCAGACCCACTGGTGCAAATGGGGTTTTTAAGCACTTTATTGGGAGGCTTGGTTCAACTGTTTAAACAAGGGCGCCAAGTTTTGCCCCCCAAAATGCAGGGGTGTCTCGCTGAAATGTTTCCGGGTTTGGGCGGATTGCCAGCTTGGACCCTCAAAACTCTCGTGGGATACCCAAGTAATGACCCCGTTTATGTGGACAGGATCCGACAGGTGCAAGAGCGGCGGAAGGAAAATGTCCTGGACGTTGTCTCACAAGAAGACAAAGGAGAAAGGCACCCTTCGAAAATTCCTTTGGGTCGAAGTTCTCGTTCTGCGAATTTCAGTGAGGTGCCTGACTCCAGAAACATGTCTAAAAAAAACACCCAGCTTCCGGACTGTCTCGACTATGGTCGAAAGTCCAGAAACTCGGGAAGTTGTTTTTTATTTTTTTTGGGGGGGTTCTGTTCATTTTTAGGCTCTGGGGCTGCAAAAGGCAGTCAGTTTGTTGCTGCCAAGGGTTGGACAGTGAGTTGGTCAAAGATGTTAAAACCCGAAACTGGCGCCGAGCCTTGCCCCACTCTCAGCCCGAACATGCCCAAGCTCTGGTTGAAGCAATCGGACTTGTTTGCCCCGCTTCTCAGGACCTGGAAGACACGGGAGAACCATTTGCGACCTTCACTCAAAGATCAAGATTGGGAAACCAACATGTTAAGACCGGTGGTAAAAACCAACATTTGAGCCATTTGGCCATTTGGAGTTGGTAAATGTGGGTAAATATTTCTCATACCGTCGGGTTGTTTGGGGTAGGTCGATTTGCTTTGGACTCGGAAGTGAGCGCGACGGCTGGGTCTCGTAGAAAATTGGTGAAGAGTTTCCTTGGCCTCCCCTATTTGGGTTGCCCAGTCGCCCATATCCAGCATAAACATGCAGAAGCATTTGTTGCAAGAAATCTGGCTTCGAGTTCCATGTTTTGCGGGCAAAAAGGGAAGAAGACATGGCATGGTCAGGTTTGCCTCACTGTTGCTAGATCATGTTCGTAGGTGTTGTGTTTTTCTGGTAGGTTCGTTTTATTGGTCAAGTTTTGGTGTTGGTTTTAGTGAGCTGCAAAAAACAAAGCTTTTGGCTACAATACCAACATTTGGAAAGTTCAACGTTCATTCCCAGGATTGACATGTGGCCTACACTCTTAGGGCAAAGGGGGCCACCTTGACAAGTGGTGCGCATGAACCCCCAGCTTGTCCTGGGGCCTATCCAGAAGGTCCTTTTTATCGGAAAGCTGTTCAAACCAGGACCCGAAACTCGTGACATTGGATCACTGATGCTGTTTTAGAATCAGCCGATGTGAGGCAGTCGAGCCGAGACATGCCACAACCAATGGTTCCCTAATTAATTTGTGCACCCACCGGATCTCCAGACAATGATGGTTTCTTTAACAAAAATGCGGACCGGAGACACTTTGCCTCAAATGAGAACCGAACACAAATCCAGGTTTGGGCGAGGAAACCGTCCATTTTAGAGTAGCGAATCTAGTTTGAGGAACTCGTTGCAAGTAATTTTGCACTATTTGACTGTGGTTCGCTGTGCTGCCCGCAGCCGATCTTTTTTTGGTTTCCCCTTTTTTTGTGGTCCAAAGAGGTGATCACCTTGTATTTTTGGCTCCTTTGGGCTGAGGGGCATGACTCAACTGAGGGCAAGTGAGCGGCCCTTTTACAATTCCCAAAGAATCCGAATGTGTGTGAAATATTTACCCGCATTTACCAACTCCACATGGGTCCGTTCTGTTGGTGACCCTCACTACCTTTTTAGATTGGTTAGGGTGGGACCGCAAATTGATGTTTTTGCCCCGCATTCAGTTGGTAGTGCTGTTGTCAGTGCGCCGATGGACAACAATTCTAGGCTGAAAATTCCATTTTCAAGGCAGTTCAAGGGTCCAGGTATCCTCGATAGCAAGTTGAATTCCAAGGAGCTGGCAGTGAAAAATTGACAAGGATTTTATTTAAGCTTCCTCCGGGTTCTTGGCAAATGTTTTGTGAATTGTCGTGGTTTGGGTGTTTTTTTCTTCTGAGGTTGCCCTTTTTTGGGTGGTTTTAAAGGGACACCAAGACAACAATTTGATTAATAATATGTTTCTTTTTGTGGGTTTATTTTTTTGCCTTGCTGGTTTTAAAGGGAATCTATCACTACTGGATGTTTTAAACAAAAAAACAGGGGGCTTAAGCAAATGGAAGAAAACGAAACCCACCATTTGTGGATCATGGACCCCCCCTTCAGCGCTTCGCCGATTCGGCGAGTTCCACGATCCAAGGCGCGGACCCTGACGTGGTCTCGGAGGACGCGGGAAACCGAGCAGCTTTGCACTTCGCGGCCTACGAGGGCCATGTGGAGGCTGCGCGATAGCATGTGCCTGTGGTTTGGTGTTGTTTGTTTGGTTTTGTTTATTGTATTATTTTATGTGTGTGTTGTTTTGTGTTTATTTGTTTGTTTGTTTTGGTTTGTATGGTTTGTGTGTTTGATATGATTGTTTGTTTATTGTATTGCTTATACTGTTGCAATTGGTTTGCTTATTTGTTTCTATGTTCTGTTTTTTTTGCTTGGCAAGGCAAAAGTGGATGGGATGGATCCCGGCCAGACATTGTGGAGTCCCGTCCAAGGTGGTCCGGGGCGGGGGGAACCCTAAGGGCCCCTAGGCAACCCGAGAGGGGCTCTCAGCTGCCCACCCACGTACCTACCCCCCCGGATTCCATGAAAGTCCCTGGACCCTCACAATTCCAACTTAATGGGAACTTGCCAAGCAAAATTGTCTAGGCCCTGTTTTGGGGGGAGGGTTCCCCTACTAAAATAGACTACCGAAAAAGTTGGTACCCTTATTCTAACCTCTCTACTGGAGGACCTAGGTATGGTTGGTGATGTGCCGTAGTAGGAGCAGTTGGCCAATGTTTACTTCACTGCGTCGAGGTGGTGCGGCTGCTGATGCAGGCTCGCGCCGATGCCGCGGCCAGCAGCACCGGTGGTGCCGGGTCTGAAAAGCCTGAACAACGCCAAGACCCATACGCGTTGGCGCCAGTTCTCCTCCAAAACCATTTTAAGTTTTGGGACTAGATATGGCCAGCTGGCGGCCAGCTGTTTGAAGGTATGCACTTATGTTGGCGTGCCCCAGACCTGGGCCAGTTGATTTTCCGCTTGCGGTGGGTTCAGGAAGACACGTCAACCCCAAAACAGGCTCGCCCGGGACCGCTCTCCCCTCAAACTTGGATCTGTTTTGAAGTTATTCTACATGTTAAAGGGTCATAGAAATGGATTCAAGGAACAGGCCTGTCAGTTGTATGGGTGTGTCGGTGTGCTTGTTTTGAGAATCCCCCCCCTTGAAAAAATAGCATCGGTTTGTAATTTTTGGTTTCCCTGTACAACCACCAACAAAAGGGTACCCTCTAAAAAAGAGACCCCCCCATATGGCTGTGGGTCAAAAATGCGTACCCAGAATGGAACCCCGATACATGGAACCAAAGCCTAAAACCTGCGGCCCCCTGGGTTTTTGACCCATTCCCAATATGCGATGTGACATTTCCACTCCGCCGGGTCCAGCCGCGTACGAATTTTACAGGTACCGCTGCAGACATCGCAAGACAGAGGCGGGCCTTGCTGGAACCCTCCGCGGAGATTTTGGTGAGTGGGGCAAATTATCTAGAAAACGTTTTGGATGCGCTTTGTGTGGATTTCACCCGTCCTTCCCCCTGCAGGTTCCTTGATTGGGGGTCCTATTTTTTGTACTCTCTTAACATCCTACAGGGGTGGATCCACAAAAAACGCATCCAAGTCGTTTCCTGGATAGCAGGATCCTTTGAAGGACACTGCTAAACTCACTCCCTGAGCTGATGGACTTTGACCGCTTTTGGCTTGGTTGTCATTTTAGTGGGAAACAAGTTTGGACTTCTTTTGGCCAGTCCACACAGGAAGTGAGTAAAGACTGCCTGGTACATGACCATCTGAAACAGCTGGTAAAGGTGGTGTTTGACTTGGCGATCCTGTTGTGTAAAACGGAGGCATTGCCGTTAGCCCCCAAAGAGTCTTGAAGATCTATTGTGTACTGCAGTGTAGGGAACGGGAGCTCTTTTGTTTCCAAAAACTAGGCAACCGGGCACAGTGGCATACCACTTGTAGTCGTAGGGTCCTTGAAGTCTAAATGATGGCAGAATAACGTTAATCTACCAGAATTGTTGGTGACCCCTATGTTTGTAGTCGTGGGGTCCTTTAAGTCTAAAAGACGGCAGAATAACGTTAATCTACCAGAATTGTTGGTGACCCCTATGTTTGTAGTCGTGGGGTCCTTTAAGTCTAAATGATGGCAGAAGAACGTTAATCTACCAGAATTGTTGGTGACCCCTATGTTTGTAGTCGTTGGGTCCTTTAAGTCTAAAAGACGGCTACCAGAATTGTTGGTGACCCCTATGTTTGTAGTCGTGGGGTCCTTTAAGTCTAAATGATGGCAGAATAACGTTAATCTACCAGAATTGTTGGTGACCCCTATGTTTGTAGTCGTGGGGTCCTTTAAGTCTAAAAGACGGCAGAATAACGTTAATCTACCAGAATTGTTGGTGACCCCTATGTTTGTAGTCGTGGGGTCCTTTAAGTCTAAATGATGGCAGAATAACGTTAATCTACCAGAATTGTTGGTGACCCCTATGTTTGTAGTCGTGGGGTCCTTTAAGTCTAAAAGACGGCAGAATAACGATAATCTACCAGAATTGTTGGTGACCCCTATGTTTGTAGTCGTGGGGTCCTTTAAGTCTAAAAGACGGCAGAATAACGATAATCTACCAGAATTGTTGGTGACCCCTATGTTTGTAGTCGTGGGGTCCTTTAAGTCTAAAAGACGGCAGAATAACGATAACCTACCAGAATTGTTGGTGACCCCTATGTTTGTAGTCGTGGGGTCCTTTAAGTCTAAAAGACGGCAGAATAACGATAATCTACCAGAATTGTTGGTGACCCCTATGTTTGCTGTCGTGGGGTCCTTTAAGTCTAACTGATGGCAGAATAACGTTAATCTACCAGAATTGTTGGTGACCCCTATGTTTGTAGTCGTGGGGTCCTTTAAGTCTAAATGATGGCAGAATAACGTTAACCTACCAGAATTGTTGGTGACCCCTATGTTTGTAGTCGTGGGGTCCTTTAAGTCTAAATGATGGCAGAATAACGTTAACCCACCGGAATTGTTGTTGACCCCTATGTTTGTAGTCGTGGGGTCCTTTAAGTCTAAATGATGGCAGAATTACGTGAACCCACCGGAATTGTTGGTGACCCCTATGTTTGTAGTCGTGGGGTCCTTTAAGTCTAAATGATGGCAGAATAACGTTAACCTACCAGAATTGTTGGTGACCCCTATGTTTGTAGTCGTGGGGTCCTTTAAGTCTCAATGATGGCAGAATAACGTTAACCCACCAGAATTGTTGGTGACCCCTATGTTTGTAGTCGTGGGGTCCTTTAAGTCTAAATGATGGCAGAATAACGTTAACCCACCGGAATTGTTGTTGACCCCTATGTTTGTAGTCGTGGGGTCCTTTAAGTCTAAATGATGGCAGAATTACGTGAACCCACCGGAATTGTTGGTGACCCCTATGTTTGTAGTCGTGGGGTCCTTTAAGTCTAAATGATGGCAGAATAACGTTAACCTACCAGAATTGTTGGTGACCCCTATGTTTGTAGTCGTGGGGCCCTTTAAGTCTAAATGATGGCAGAATAACGTTAACGAATTGTTGGTGACCCCTATAAGTCTAAATGATTAACGCAGAACCCCTAATCCTTTAAGTCTAAATGATGGCAGAATAACGTTAACCTACCAGAATTGTTGGTGACCCCTATGTTTGTAGTCGTGGGGTCCTTTAAGTCTAAATGATGGCAGAATAACGTTAACCACCAGAATTGTTGTGACCCCTATGTTTGTAGTCGTGGGGTCCTTTAAGTCTAAATGATGGCAGAATAACGTTAACCCACCGGAATTGTTGGTGACCCCTATGTTTGTAGTCGTGGGGTCCTTTAAGTCTAAATGATGGCAGAATAACGTTAACCTACCAGAATTGTTGGTGACCCCTATGTTTGTAGTCGTGGGGCCCTTTAAGTCTAAATGATGGCAGAATAACGTTAACCTACCAGAATTGTTGGTGACCCCTATGTTTGTAGTCGTGGGGTCCTTTAAGTCTAAATGATGGCAGAATAACGTGAACCCACCGGAATTGTTGGTGACCCCTATGTTTGTAGTCGTGGGGTCCTTTAAGTCTAAATGATGGCAGAATAACGTGGAATGATTTAACTAAATGATGGCAGAATAACGTGAACCCACCGGAATTGTTGGTGACCCCTATGTTTGTAGTCGTGGGGTCCTTTAAGTCTAAATGATGGCAGAATAACGTTAACCTACCAGAATTGTTGGTGACCCCTATGTTTGTAGTCGTGGGGTCCTTTAAGTCTAAATGATGGCAGAATAACGTTAACCTACCAGAATTGTTGGTGACCCCTATGTTTGTAGTCGTGGGGTCCTTTAAGTCTAAATGATGGCAGAATAACGTGAACCCACCGGAATTGTTGTTGACCCCTATGTTTGTTGTCGTGGGGTCCTTTAAGTCTAAAAGACGGCAGAATAACGTTAACCTACCGGAATTGTGTTCGTGACTATCACTGGGCTGGCCCAAAAAGTCTCAAAGGTTCGCCCGGGTACTCTCCTGCAAATCAGCGCGGGACCCGAAAAGGGCCGCTCCCCGAAAGGAGAGGCTCGAAGCATCTGCAGCTTTTCCATGTTAATCGGTAGGTGCCTCGAGTTTTTGAGGGCAACCTCATATCAATCACTAGATTCCTCTAAACATGGAGGTTATGTTTGGTTCCAGTTTCATGTTAAACAGGATTTGTCCGGTTGACTTGATACGAGTCGCCTTCAACATTGCCGTCATTTACTTTATGTAGGAGTGCTTCATGCAGAGGTTGTTTTGTTTTTGTTCTCGAACAAGGATACGGGACGTCCAAAAAAAGCGATACCCTTAAACAATAAGATGAACAACTTGAAAAACGATCCGATACGAGACGCCCTGACGTTGGAATGCATACACCCCCGCTCCCGAATTCGGCCGCATAGGGCCAAGGAGTGGCGAATTGGCGGTGGGGACGGCGAGGAGGAGAGCTCCAGGGAGAGACTCTTGCGTGGGTTGATCCTCCAAATGGTCGGTCAAAAATTGGGTACCCAAATGGACCCCGGGTAAATGGAACCAGTGGTACCCAATTCCTGTGGTCCCCTGGTTGAATTTTGAACCATACCCAAATCAAGTGGTTCCCTCCCATCAATAAACACGGACGTTCGGGACCCGGTCCCTTCAAAAGAAACATGCTCCAATCAATCCAGGACCCCCCCTGTCATAGAACTGGTGGAAGGATATTTGGGAGATTGACATTTTATTCCCAAATGTCTATCCTGTCTCTGAACAATTGGCCAACATTGGGAGGCATTAACTTAGAACACCAAAGGAAGCACAGCTGGAGTGAGCCCCCCTGCGTGAGTGTGCTCAAAAAGCAAAACATGATTTTGGTCAGACTTTTTATCAGATGTTGGGACACACCATGTCTATTAACCTTCAGATTCTGCTCGGAACCTCAGGCCCTAGGGTTTCATGTGGGGGAAACAAGGGCTGGAGGGGCTCAAGGGATGGTTGAAACCCTTTCGAATGGCCAGGTTTTTCGATGTCCCGGCCGAACTGGCCAAATTGGCTCCCGGACATTTTGGGCGACCACCGCTTTTTGCCACCAAAAAAAATGTCGTGATCCGGTTGTGTGTAGCGGGTGTGCCTACTTGTGCGATCAACTGCAAGCGGGCACAGTCAGTTGGTTTGCTTAAGATGTTTGCCGGGGTGCACGTGCAGTCAGGAAACGCTCAAACATCCAGAAAACAACAAGGCCCTTGTAAGGAATGTCGGAGTTGGATGTAGTCTTCTACCGGGACCGTTCTTTTATTTATGTATTTTCGTCAAGGTCCAAGAGTTAAGCTTTTGGCTTCAGGTCTTTATAAGCAATTGGTGTTCAAGCAACTGGGAACGTAGGTGAACAACACCATGGCACGGGCACTAACCCCCAGTTACCCCAGTGAGAACCATGGCTTTTTCCTACTTACTGAGCCTCAAAGCGAAATCGAACTTTTGACCTTTGTGTTTCCCTGGCCCAATTTTGTTCGTGGCCAGCCAAAAGGTGATCACATTTTTTATTTCTGGGTTCCTAGAATCAAGTGAGAAAGTGCTTCGCCGTTTTTCAGGGTCCCTCAACTGATATTAGATACTGGTGCCAGGCAAACACCAGATTTAGAGGCTCCGAATCCTTGGAAAGGTGGTGGTTTTTGCATGTGCCCTTTGAACAGAACCGTTTTTTGGGGCCGGCAGCTAGTTTCTTGCGCGGGTTTTGGACGCCAAGTGCCAAGCCTCCGCGACAGGACATCGAGGCTTTGAGCCAGGTGCTGGAACTGCTCGCTTAAGGCCAGGGTTGTGGGATCAAGGGGTTTCTCCCCACTTCTGTGATACAAGGGAATCCCCCTGTATATTGGGGGGTTAGTCTTTGAGAAGCCCTTTTTGGTGTATCACAGAAGTGGTCATTTCCCACAGCCCTGCTTAAGGCCTCAGCTCGCACCGAGCTGAAAGAAGCGAGTCCCCGGTGACATCGCGCACGAGCGGATGGTGGATGGTTGAAATCGACATCCGCTGCGCACGAAATGAAGCCATGGTTGAAACGTTCCTGAAGGGTGCGAAGTGGATTTCATTTATCCACAGTATGGTGCTGTTCCTTCACAACGGAAAGAGCAGCTGATTGGTAGTGTTGAATTTGGATGAATAAAACACCTGTGAGATCAATAGAGGGGGTGTTCCCCTCCAATAGGTTTCCCCTCTTGCAGGGGGCACATGCGAAACCAAGCCCTAGCCACCAATTAGAACGAAGCTGAGCGGAGGGATGTTTTTTTTCTTCTTCTTTTATTGTGGCGCCGTTTTGCCACTAACATTGCAGCTGACAGGGGGTCCCTTCAACAGAAATTGCTCTCCCGGCACCTCCCCACAGGTGCCATGTTAGTTGGAGGAAAGGTGCAACATTACTCAACTCATGGCCAATTCTTCCCTTATGGCTCCATAGGTGGTTGATTTCCGCTTGGACTTCCAACACATGTCTTGTGGTCTCCTTTAAGGCGCATCCCAAACGGTCATGAGTTTCCCCTACGCTGCAATTGCTCTTGATTTGCGAGAAAGCAGGTTGCTAGAGTTTCAGGCGGGAAGTTTCATTCTTTCCACGCAACCGGACGTCCGCAGCAAAAAGAGGCCAATCTGTAATGACGTAGTCTAGGTCCCCCAGTAGTGCCCTTTTTTACCAACTTTTGTGGGGGAGGGTTCCCCTACTAAAATAGACTACAGAAAAAGGACAAAAAAGAAAACACGGTACCCTTATTCTAACCTCTCTACTGGAGGACCTAGTATTGGACCTGGAAGCCATTTCAGGACTGGGACCTGCAGAGATGAAGACAAAGGGCCCCAGGCTCTTCCTTGCAAGGCTTGTTGAAGGCATCTTTGAGGCATGCGACTCTCTGCCAGGAAATCGCCGCGACGGACACGTCTCCGCGCTTCGAGTTGAGAAAGCTTTGGGCAGGAAAAGCGCAGTGCGAAGAAGGCTGCATGGTATCATCACCCCCCCCCCTTGAAGGGGGGACCGGGAGGATCCTGACGGACTGTAGTCAAACGATCAAAGTCCCTACTTTTCCCCAACACCCCCCCCCCCCCCGCCCCGGTAGGCTGCAAAAACTTTGGCCATTAGGAAACAAGGGGGCGGCTAAAGAAGGGTGGAACCCTGTGAAGTATGCAAGATGCTTGGGTACAGTCAGCCGACATTTGCCTCAGTTGTCCAAAGCCGACCTTTTGACCGAGGTGCCAAAAGGTGATCACCTTTTACTTCTGGGTCCTTTGGGCAAGTTGGTTTCCCTGGCCTGCAAGCAAATCAAAAGGTACCCTCAACAAAAAACAGACCCATCTGGCAGTTTTGGGCACGCGTTATGACCTCGCCGTTTTGGCAAATCGTCTTGAAAAAATGTTTTGTTGTCCCTTTTAAACTTTGCATGCCAGCTTCTTTTTAAAACTTTAGTGACCTGTTGAAATTCAGCTAAGTGATCTTATGTTCAAAAAAAATCATGGCACCGAGAAACTGAATCGAGGTCACTGAGAACAAGCTGGTGATCGATTGTCCCTTCTTGGTTTTAAAGGGAAGTTTTACCCCTACTGGACTTATGTTCCCATTTTAGTCCGGGGGACGAAATTGGAAATGGCAAGTTTGGGTTTGGACCATTTGAGTGGGAAACAAATCAGACCTGCTTTGGGTTTACAATTGCATGCCTCGTTTTTTTTTGACAGTCCCCCAGCAGTGCCCTTTTACGCTTAAATAGGGGGAGGGTTCCCCCACTAAAATAGACTACAGAAAAAAAGTCTCCTTATTCTAACCTCTCTACTGGAGGACCTAGTTGAGATCACCTGATATATGTTTGGGTCAACTTTTCTTCACTGCTATTGGGCTGGATCTTTAGACTCTTTTTGTTGGGGGGGGGGGGGGAAATCATGGGGTTTTCCACTACACCCACAAAAAGTGATTCACTTTTTGCGGAGGGGTCAACAGCAGCAACCAAGTTTCTTCCCCAGAATTCGTTCCCCTTCTTTACTGTTTTGCTCCCTTGGGGTTCCCTTGGTTTTCCACTAGCCAGGCAAATATATATATATATATATATGTGCTTTCCTGGGGTTCCCTTATATATATATATATATATATTTGCTTTCTCTTGGTTTTCCACTAGCCAGGCATATATATATATATATGTATATTTGCTGGGGTCCTAATTCCAGCCAAGGTTTTATTGGGCCGGGCTCTAGGCCAAGCGCCGGCTGATGTCCTGGCTTCCGTGGTAGCTTTCGAGCTCGAGTGAGACTTGTGGAATTCGGATCCGATCCCCAGCCAGAGGTGTGGGTCCGACGTTTTTGAGAAGGGACACCAAAAGGAAACCATCCATTTTGGGCTCACCGGTTTTGAGATACACCCATTTGGACCCAAAGGCTTAAGGGAGCACAGAGAACCTGCTGAGGGGTTGGGGTGCAAAGCAAATTTGTTTCAGCCGGGCGCTAAACAACCTGTAAGTGTGGCAATTGCTTTAAAAGGGAGCCAACCATGTGCGATACGAAAGCTGACCGATATGATTTGGCAGAACCTGATCTTGTTTGTGGCTGCAGAAGGATACCAAAAGGGGATGGTGTTTCCTTTGTCAATTTAATGCCCGGGGCCCAGTGTACAGGGGGAGGGTGGTGCAACTTTCATTTGTGCGTCGTCATGTATCGAGGGCCGGCTACGGACTCACTTTGGGGTGGGGATCGAATGCAGAAATTCGGTCTGCCCAAATTCGGGGCATGCTGTGGGAGGTGTCAAATTGAGAGGTTAGAGCTATTCCAGGTCCTCCAGGGCCCTGTTACCCTTAAGTGCGAGGGTTCCCCTACTAAAAAAGACAAAGCCGAAAAAACACATGGTACCAACTTATTCTAACCTCTCTACTGGACCTAGTATTGGACTGGAAGCCCTTTCAAAAAAGCAGAGACCCGCAGAGATGACCAAGGGCCCCAGGCTGCATGTATCCCATCCGCATGCCTGAATTGAGTGCACCTTAAGCGTCCGAAGACCGTTTTTTTCTCGGAGGGGAAAAGAGTGAGTGGCGAGCTGACGGGGAGCGCATGTTGAAGGCGATGCTCGGCTATGTTCACAGTTCTTGGCATTTGTGCTGCAACTTGTGCCATGTTTCAAGGGGTTGATTCCCCATTCAACCATCGTTCCTTTCAAAACCTAGCTGTTCCCCCAGGGTTCTTGGTGGTTTTCTGGGTTGAAGGATCCCTGGAAATGTGGAAGCTACCCCCAGAATATTTGGTGTTTCTCATTTTAGCTCATATCCTCGAGCTCACCAAAAGGGCCCACAATGAGGGTCCCTGGCTGGTTTTGTTTTCTTTTCCGGGTGCGAAATGATATGACTAGGTCCCCCCAGCTAGGTGCCCTTTCTTACCCTTTGTTGGTTGGGAGGGTTCCCCTACTCAAATAGTCTACAGAAAAAAGTTGGTACCCTTATTCTAACCTTTCTACTGGAGAACCTAAGCAACAGTACTTGATTTGGTTGCTTTCCACGGATTGGGGGGCTGGAACAGCAAAGCATTGAACATGCCGCTCCTCACTTCGTAAGTTTCTGGACGTTTTGTGTGGGAAGACCATTGCGGCAAAGAAAAGCAAAAGGTCTTTTTGGCATGACCAATCCACACAAAGCGAGTAAAGGGTGGCCAAAGGTTTGCTTGGGTGTGCCTTTGCCGACCGATGTTCCTTCCGATCGGGTACGACCATGTATGACCAATCTTGTGAAGGCGGATCAACCAGGTCTGACCTTTGAGTTTCCTTTTTTTCTTAACTGTTGCTTGCCAGTTTCCAGTTTTATGTTTTGTTTGGTTCTGCTAATTATGAGTTTTTTCTTCCATTGGGATCATACCAGGGTCGTAAAGTTTTTTAGGTCAATTTTAGTCGACCCAACAGCGTAAGTTTTTTTCTGGGACTGAGGGCAGGTTCCCAATGGCAGAAGCGTTTCCTTGTTCGACCTTGTGCCTTTGATTTTCTGTCACTTTCCCCTGCAACCACCTACCCACCCACCCCACAGCAAGCAGCTTAAGGCTTAAGCTCGTTTGGCTCGGGCGTATCTTGCTCCGCTGTCGAGGCGTAGGGCAGTCCCAAAGCTGGTTACAACCATTTGCTTAAGAATATGTTTTATTTTGCCTTGCTGGTTTTAAAGGGGATCTATCACCACTGGAAATAGTTGTTTTATTTTTTTCCTGGGGGCTGCGCGCGTTTGGCTCGGAGGGCGGAACACCGCTATCGGGGCTTAGCTTTGGGCAGTCCCAAAGCCGGCTCCTGCCAACAGTTGGCCCTCTAGCTCACCAAGGCAAGCGAATCGACCGGATGGTCGCCGGATCTGGTGGAACCAGGTTTCGGTTCGCATTTTTCGTTTGGCCCCATTTTCGGTGATCGCCTTGTAATTTCTGGGTCCCAAAGAACCGGATGTTGGGCTTTTGGGTTGACAGGTGGCTTTCCATTGCTACCAAAACGTGATCGACCTTTAACCCACAGGGCTTGGTGATTGCCCCTGGCACCTGTTTGCGCCTTTTTGGGCTTCAGGAGGCTATGCAACATCCGATTTGGAAAGAACTTTGTGTAGCAAGCAAGCCGTTTGAGACTTGTTTTGGCCAATGCACTCCGGAAGTGATTCCTACCAATCGCCAAAGACTCTGCAAGCCATGGCGCCGCCAGACTCACAGGCAGGAGACCACTCAGCGCCCAGAGACAGGCCCCCTGAACTCCCATGGTTTTGGTTGCAGTGAGGTCCGACCATAGTACGGATTGGGATTGGGGACCCCCTCTTTTGTGAACAGCCTTGAGAACACCCCCAATGCAAGAGCAAAGTAACTAAACGAACCCTCTACCACCTTGCGCGATTCCTTTTGGATGTTCAGCCCACATCAGGTCAGTGGTTGCAACCAAGGTGCTTATTGAATTGGTGACTGACCACTTTGCTTGAAAATCCAATCTGCCAATCGGGGCTTCGGATCCCATGCCGCAATCGAGCGTTTCTTCTCAAGTGCCTCGTGTTCGATGCTGCGGGCCAACACCCATTCAATGATTTGATACCCTCAACTTGCAGAGCTCCAGGATCTTCAAAACATGGCGCTTACTTCCCCGAAGTTTCAGGTTGCGCGGAAGTGAGGAACGGTAATAAAAACGCGCACTTCCTTTTAGTGGGACCCTGGCACCGGCGTTTTCCCGCGGGCCTCTCTCTCTCTTCCGGGCGCCACTTGCGCTGCGCGTGCCATGGCGCGTGCCATGGAGCGGGGGAACGACCCCGGCAGCGATGTGGAGATGCTGCTGGAGGGCGCCGTTCGCTTCGAGCCGCGGCGCCCTGGACGAAAGCGATGGACAAAGAGAAGATGTACCCTCCCACCAGCTAGCGTGGCTGTGGTTGTCAAAACTCATGGGATCCCATTTTGGTTGGTAGGTGAATTCACCACCCATTTTAGAACCTATTTTAGTGGGGATTGGGATGTTCACTGGGGGTAATTACGGGATTTTGACCCATGGCCACATGGGTTTGTGCACAGACCCCTATAGAAAATTATAGAAAGACTACTTTCCTCTTGGAAAGGACCTTTCTGCACTTCCATGTTAGTTTGTGGGAGGGTAAATCCTATAGGGTTGAACGATGAGAAGAGAGCAGGTTGAAGTCCTCACTTTAGCTTGTTTCGTCGTTCACCGCTTTCTCGCGGCGGTGGGCAAACAGGAGCTCGAGAGGGAACGACCAGGGAGGTTTTTCGAGCAGGGAAGCTTGGATCGATCACGCTTTGACCTGAGCTGGCACCCTGAAAAACTCAGTTGCCCAAAGCGAAAGTCGACCTTTCGACCTTTTGGTTTTCTCATGTTGGGTTCCCATTTGTAGTCAAGGCCCCAAAAAACCTTTTATTTCCAGGTTCTTTGGGCAGAGAAAAACGTCAAAGCCGTTTTGTTGGTAGTCTTTATGTTGGAGCCCCAAAATGCTTAAACTGCTTGCCATGCATGTGAGCAGGTACACAAAACAAAGGGTGGTTTTCCTCCACAAGTGGGACATGCAAGGGTTGGTTCATCTTGAGTTGACTTTACTGCAAGCCCTCTTCACTGTCCTTTGCTGCCTCCTTGCCAAGAATGACCCATGTGTTGCCCACAGAAAAAGCCGTTACGTCGTTTCACTGCTCAGATCATTTCTTGTTTACTGGATCTACTGGTGCCCTTGTTATGCCCCGCTGTTAAAGGAAGAACTTGGGAAATCCACGTCTGTTTCCATTTGCTTCTGTCGGGCTAGGTGTGAAAGGAACCTGGGAGATCCCCCTTTTAGCGGGAAACTCACGGGAAATGACTCGTTCGGGAAATCGCTCCAATGTTTGCGAGCAGGTAAGAGTTCCTGAGTCTCTCACTCCCCGAGTTCATTTGTAAGCCTTTTTTATCCCCGCTGCCTTAAACATGATTTATTGGGCAAAGGGGTGACCCTGGAACTTCTTCCCATAGGTTATGACTCATGACTGGTCAGCGGTTGGACCTCTCAATCCTCGTTTTGCAGCCTCCCTGAAAACAAACTCCTCCCTCCCCTGGTAGATGTGGCGGGGGGCGGGTTGGGTTTTTAAGAGACATGAGTGTGACATGAGGCCAACATGAGGCCAACTCACTCTTTCAGTTCCTGGACTTCATACTTTGTCAGAAGGCCATGTTAGTGGCAAACCACAGGAGGTGACAACAAGACCTACAGATGCTGTTTGGTCGACCCCTTCGATAGCAGGTTTCCAAATGAGCCCTGACCATGGGAAGGACATGGGGCCCTCCCTCAGAAATCCCCGCAAATGGCCAAGGGCTTACCCAATTTGTCCCATGCTCCTTGCGGAAACTAGGAATCTTGTCTGCCAATACCGGCCAAGGGAACCACAATTTCCACAATCAAATTGCCAGGAAATAGTGTGACTAAATCCACTTTGCACCATTTGGGAGGGATAAAGCTCTAAACAGTTTCGAGTATTTTTGTCCATCCACAGGAAGAAACGGGTGGGTCCTCGATGTCCAAATTTAGTCTCAAACAAGGTGCCTGAGAGGATATGGCTTTTGATTTTTTTCGGGGTACCCCCCTGGTGTGCAAAAGGGAGGGCGAAACAACCACCCATGTTGGGCTTCCCGAATTTTGACACAGACCCAAGTACCTTCCCTTCCACTAACGTAGCACCTCACAGAAGGTTTGTTTAAGAGGAAACTGATCTTCCAGGTACCTTACCACAGGTGCTACGTTTGTTGGAGGCAGGTATCCTTCTACCGTAGGTGTCTTTTTGGTTGGTTTGATCAAAAAATAGAAGGCCCTGGTTTACCTGGCGGTTCAATCACCTACCCGGGAAACCCTTGGACATCTATGCCTTCCACCGGAAGCCCCGTCAGGAGGTGCAAACCACCTGCTGCACTTGCCATCACCATCGCCATCGCCTTGGCTCTCGCGGCTGTGGCTGGCGTTGCAATGCATTCCGCGAGGGCGCGGAACCTCAGAGATGGGAGTTTCAACCGGGCTCCTTAAAAGAAATTCATTTTGCCCGCCCATTTGAAACATGTGGCTTTTTCAACACCAAAATAAAGGGAGACCACCATTTACAAGGCAACGTTCATGTGTATATTGTAAGGATCCCTGTTGAATGTGGGAGCCTGAAATGAATTGGCTGACTCCCGGAGTTTATGGAGCTTTAGTCACTAATTAGGGTTTTGGGGAGGCCATTTTGGCTGCAAGCAAGAAGTGTGGTTAATTACTTGTTTTGGCCAGTCCACTCGATCGGAAGAGAGTTGGTGGACATCACATAGCCACGTACATGCCGCAAATGCCACACACACACACACACCCCACCCATAGCGTCCGAAGAGTTCGTGGAGATGCATCGCTTTTCGGGGGCAAACGCCACGTGCCTATTATTGCGGGTCTACGAATGGGTTATGGCTCTCACCTAGAGGTAGAACCTGTTTGGCTAACAGCCTGCTTCCTCAAGGCGACCTCTGGTGGGTTTCATGTTAGTGTCAGTGGGTGCAAGGGTTAGCGCGTAACAACCATGGAAGCATGTGCGTTCAAGTTGGACTGGCTTGGACCACAGCAGTTTTCCAAGCGCTATGAACGATTGTGCAGTTTGATGTTGAAACGCGCTTGCCTGTCAGCAACTATATGGTTTTGTCAGCGTTTAACCCTTGATTACGTTTTGCTTTCGGGGTGTGTTTTGATTCGTTTGGAACCACATAATCAAAGTGTGGAATCCGGATTGGCGAAGCCTTGTGGTCCCTGAGGCAAAGACCACATCGAATCAGGAGATGGAAGCCTATGACAGTACCTATGACAAGTACCAAATGCACACCTCAAGTTCGGGCGCAGCTTCACACTTCTCTTCGGGCAGTGCAGAGAGCAACGCCTATCCCAAGTGGAACCCTGGCGTAGGCGGCGATGAGTGGGGTAACTTTGGCGGCAGTAGCTGGCACGCTGGCGACAGTGGCAGCGGCAGCGGTGAAAAGGACACATGGAGCGGCGGAGGGAGCAAGAGCGGTGGTGATGCATTCCATTCCGACGGCGGCGGGAGTGCTGACGGCACCGCAGGGAGCAGCAACAGTGGCAGTGACGCATGGCATTCCGGCTGGAGCACTGACGGCACTGCAGGGACCGGCAGCAGCGGCAGTGACGCATGGCATTCCGGCTACACCAGTGGTGGGAGCACTGACGGCACTGCTGGGGACAGCACTGCTGGGAGCGGCAACAGCGGCATTGACGCATGGCATTCCGGCTACACCAGTGGTGGGAGCACTGGGAGCGGCAACAGCGGCAGTGACGCATGGCATTCCGGCTACACCAGTGGTGGGAGCACTGACGGCACTGCTGGGAGCGGCAACAGCGGCAGCGACGCATGGCATTCCGGCTACACCAGTGGTGGGAGCACTGACGGCACTGCTGGTAACGGGAACAGCGGCAGTGACGCATGGCATTCCGGCTACACCAGTGGTGGGAGCACTGACGGCACTGCTGGGAGCGTCAACAGTGGCAGTAACGCATGGCATCCCAGCTACACCAGTGGTGGGAGCACTGACGACACTGCTGGGAGCAGCAACAGTCGCAGCGAATGGAATGCTGCCTACAGTAGCGGGGGCAGCAGCGGCGACAATCACAAGTCGAGCGCTGACGACACCGCGGGGAGCAGTAACAGCGGCAGTGACGCATGGCACTCCGCCTTATCCGGCAGAGGTGGTCGCCATAGCGGCAGTGACACATGGAATTCTGTCAACAGCGGTGGCAGCAGCAGCGGCAGCCGCCCCAGTAGCGATGGCAAGAAGTTGACGTCCGGCTACAGCAGTGGTGGCGACGACAGCAACGGCGGAAGCAAGAAAGACATCGGCAATGGCAAGTGGGATGCTGGCTCCATCCACAGCTCCGGCAGCAGTGGCAGCAGCCACGACCAGCACAGACAGAGTCCTGACGGCACCGGAAGAAGCGATAACAGCAGTGACAAGTCCAGCGACGGCTACCAGAAGTGGACTGCTGGCCACATGACTGGCAGCACGCGCAGCAAGTGGGGAACAAAGGCAGATGCAAGCGACAGAAGCGGCAGCAGAACAAATGACAGCAGAAGCACCCACGCGACGAAATCTGGCCATAAACAACAAGGGAAGTCCAGCGACACCCCTTGGTATGACAAGTGGTATCACGAAAGCAGCCAGAGACCGACTACCAGCGGCGGCAACTCGCTTGCAACAAACCCAAGCCACTTGTTGCTGTCGCATCCGATTCCGAGCTTCAAACAATGTGCGTTGGCTCGGTATTTGTCAAAATTACACTTCCCCGACTAAGTTGAATTCCCTATAGCAAGTCTGGAGCGCCTCTTTTGCGAGTGGCTTCCCGGCAATTTACCCAAGAAGGGGCTTCCTTGGTCTACCGGGGCGACTGGTTGCAACTTGGAAGTACGTCCATTTGATTTTTTTCGGCTCAGGTACTGGTTTCAGCCCCCACGTCGAGAGGTGGGGCTCCAGCTGCCCAGTTGCACCCAGTGGATTGTTGGGGTCAGTTGTGTTTGTTTCGCTTGTGTTGTGTCTCAGTTGCCCACAGCGAATCGACCCTTTAACCTTTTGGTTTTCCAATTTTGGTCTATGTTTAGTAAAGGCCCCAAAAGGTTCACCTTGTATTTCTGGGTCCTTTGGGCAACTGAGGTGTTGCTTTGTTGTGTGCCCGAATCGGATACTTCTTGGGCCTCGAAAATTCAACTCTTTGAGGGCCCTGCAGAGGTCGGACCATCCCCAAAAAAGGGTTTATGAGCGGCTGGGTGGTTTTATGTTGCGTTTCTGTGTTTTGATGGATGTTCTGTTTGTGATTGTGTGTGTGTTTGTGTTTGTGTTTGTGCTTGTGTTTGTGTTTGTGTGCGTGTGCGTGTTGTGTTTGTGTGTGTGTCTTCGTTCTTTCAAGTCAAATGAGCAACAAAGATGCCGCTAATGCGATCGGCATGTGTTTCTGTGATTGTGGAATGCCTTCGTACAAGCTGGACAGCAACACGGCACTTGGATCAGTTGCGGTACCTTGCCTTTAGAAGAAAAGCCTAACCTTTGACAGGTTTCCTCGCTTTCTGAGATAATGGACTTTAGTCACTTTTGGGCTTGGACTCTTGGACCATTTTAGTGGTAAACAAAAAGGTCCGGGTTCTTTTTTGGGCCATCCATCAGTTTCCTTGGATCAAGCCACAATACACAGTTGTCTTGATCAGGTTCAACCCATGCCGTGCGTTGGTTCACAAATGGGGGAACGCTGGCAATGAGTGATGTCCCTTGGTTTCCGATTTGAGACCATCTACGAATCTACAAAGTCGGAGTTGTTCACTAGCACCCTTTCCCCTTTCGTGTGGCGGGTGGCTTCCCCACCCAACGCATTCAACCCGAAAGGGTCACACCGTCTACCAGGGTCACTGGTTGCAAACTTACACTAGGTCCCCCAGTGTTACCCTTTTACCCTTTTTTGGGGGAGGGTGCCCCTACTAAAATAGACTACAGAAAAAACAAGTAACCCAGTGCACTTCCCTGACCACGGTGGATTCCCCAGAAGCACGTACGGAGCGGCTCTTGTGAGGGTGGCGTACCTCCATTTGCTGAACGGAATATGTTTTTATTATTATTTTCGCCTTGTTGGTTTTGAAAGGAAGCAACATCACTACTGGAGATATATGTTTTTTTCTGTTTTTTTGGGGCCTCAACCAAATTGAAAAGTAACTAGAAAAAGGGGCCTCCTTCTACCAGGGTGACTGGTCGCAACTAGGAAGTGCGTCCACAGCTAAGGTGGTTTCAGCCCCCACGTCGAGCAGAGGGGCGAGGGAATCGAACATTTTGGAGACTCAGTTGTAGCGAGTGGTTTGGGTGGTCACGGTTTGCTGTTTGCTTTGTTTCGTTGTGTTGTTTTGCTTGTTGTTTGCTTGGTTTGCGTTTGTGTGTGTGTGTGGGGTGTGGGGGTGTGTTTGCTTTGTGTGTGTGTTTTTTTGATTCTGTTGTGTGTGTGCGCGTGTTTGTGGGTTTGGTTGCCTTCTCTTTAAGTCAAGCGACCCACAAAGAAATCATTGTGATTTTAGCTGCCACAAGTTGTTGTGTGTGCATACCAGGGCTTTGGAAGAAAGGCTGGCGTTTGATGGGAAACAAATTAGGAACTCAATCAAATGGGTGTGCCTTTTCTAGAGACAGCCAAAATGGCCGCGGTTTCCCTTCGTGTCCATCTAAGCCAAACAAAACCAGATACCACCAAAATCGGCACACCCAAATGCTCGGTTGTTCCTCGTTTCCTTCCAAAACCAGAAGGACCCTCCAGCCTGTTCTCGACAATTCCTTCCTGCACCTGTCTTCGAGGCAGCGGCCTTTCTTTCTTGGCGATTTGTGTCACTGCCTGAGTTTCTGTCGTTTGGTCACTCCCTGAGTTCCTGGACTTTATACTTTTAGCATTTTTTAACGGCCACAAGTTTAAGCAGCCTCCCCAAGTGTTTCGCCTACACCAGGGTGAAAGCCCGTAAGCAATGGGAATGTGAAATGAGCAGGTAAAGCCCATCTACATTCACCCAATTGGAACTTCCTGTCTAGCAACAAACAGCACTAGGCGACGCTCAATTTGTTTGGATCTGTGGTTTGCATTTGGATTTGAAGCCCTGGTTCTTGTCGCGGTTCTTTTTTTCGGACATTCAACCTTACCTCCACGCCATGAACCCCACGAGGGAAGCTGAAATTCGACTGCCGCAACTCAAGAAAGCGCTTTGGACATGGAATCCGAATCTGTGGATCCACCCCTGTAGGAAACTAAAAGAGTACAAAGAGATCACTAACAAGGGAGACCCCACAACGAGCGCAAAATCCCAGCTGTTTTCTAGAATATCATTAATGCTGACCCCGGATTAATAAAGAATCCTGTTTATTAATATGGGGGTGTCCCCGGTTTTAGTGGGGAATTCTCGCTTTTGGAGGGGAATTCGGGGGCTTCTTCATCCGGGGTCAACAGTAACCTGCATTGAAAACCCTCGAGGCCGAAGGCTCATGTTTGAACTGATCGGCCCAGATAGCCGTTATCCAGCCGTCTGCTTTCAGGAGGCTTCCGGAGATTTGGTTCCACAAAATTCCGGGGGCTGTGGATACCGCCTCAGCCATGAAACATCAGGTAGATGAAGGGTAGGAAGGGATTCGACACTCCCCCTTGCCATAAATGCGTGCGGATACTCGCCTTTTCATTTCTTTACCTGGTTCTGGTAGACTATCTTATCCCGGGTGTTTATTACAAATTACTTGGGTGTGTGTTTCTATTTTGCCGGGGACCGGGGAGGAAGAAATAGGAAACATGTGGCAGCCCTGGTCTGTGCATTTCTGAACACCCGATAGGTGTCTTTCTGATCAGTCAATTTGGATAGGAAATCGATGGTTTCCTGATTGAGATGGGGTTTATGAATCGTTTACCGGCCGGCGGCGGACCAGACAGCCCCACGGTCATAAGTCCATTTACTTTCCAATTAACGTGGAACCTGACAGGAAGATGGACGAGGGTCTTCTAACCTGCCTCCCTGGCAGGTTCTCTGAATTGGTGGGAGGGTACCAGAAAAACCGATCATGTTTTTGCCAAAAGGTCACCCCGCGATGGTTGTTTCTCAGGATATGGCGATGCCCATTCTGTTCACGGCTCCGGCTCGCTGTACCCGGCCTATGACCCCTATGCTTGGTTTACCCCGAAGACAGGCAGGGCTTCGACACAGGTCTGCCGCTGGACCCTCAAAATACTCTAAAAACATGGATATTGCTCCAAAGTCATGGGGTGAAATATCTTTGTTGAGGGCACTTTGAGGGTCCATGTATCGATTTTGCAGCCACTTTGGCGGAAATTGCTTTTGTTCTCATGGGTAAAACTGTGGCACTTCCGTTGGCAAGGTTCATTCTCCTTTATGTTTACCTGAGAGCCTGAACTACCTGTTTGTTTGTTCTGCTTTCTGGAAAGAATATCCGCGGCAATACGCAAAGGGTTGCAACTATGCTTTGGGATGCACAAAGCCCACTTCGCACCAAGACCGATGAATATTGGTTTATACACCCCTTACTTGTGCGCTGCATGTAGAGTACTTACAAGAAACTAGGGGAGGCCCCTAGCCATCGGAAAAAGCCAGTTGCAGGGGGTCCAAAACAATTTGCCCACCAAAGATTCCCACACCATGGGGGATGAATAGTTTGGTTGTTGCAAAGTTGCAAAGTTACAATGGCCACAGCCACAAGGGGACGGACTGCGTGTTAGTACTTGAGCACCGCTCTTAAAACAAAAACAAAAAAAACGCGGCGTCGCCATGCATTCTTTCGACCACTCGCCCGCCCGGGGCAAGAACCACAGTTTCATTTTAACCTTTCTTCGATTTGTTCGAGGGTTTATCTCGCAAATTTAAACCAGCAACAAAGTGCATTCTTTTCCCATGGCCACTCGGGGTTTGGGAAGGGTTCGCTTTCAGCAGAAGACTGTGCGATGCCACACGGGGGTTTTCAATCTGAAACTGGCAAAACGGGGGGGGGGAGGGCCAGAAGGTGCTCTAGAAATGGGTGTTCCCTTCAGGTTTCCCTTTTCACGCTGCGGTTGCGTCCCTATTCTTGACACCATTGCCCTTTTCACACTATTGTGTCAACCACTACCTTAAAAAGGGTTTGTATTTTTCTTTTTTGCAGCAACTGGGGTTGCCTCAAAATTGGTTGGTGAACACACGCACCCGTGTAAATGATGTCCACGAAAAGGTTGCCAAGCAAAACTCATGCCACTATTTGAGGTTCGGCTAGAACTTCCAGCTACCATCCCTGGTCCATGTGGGAAGGGGCATGCAGGAGACTTACTCAACAACCATTTGCTTAAGAATATGTTTTATTTTGCCTTGTTGGTTTCAAAGGGAATCTATCACTACTGGAAATATGCTTTCTTTTTTCCAGGGGGCTAGTTTGTTTGTGTCGGGCGTTTTCGTCCATTTTCAGCCTTCAGGCACTACGGCTACAAGCACGCCCCGCGTGTATCCCCCTGTGCCCACGATCACGAAGTACGTGAACCACTACGAGGCGGCCAACCCCCTCAACATCACCGCTGCCAGGCAGGGGCCGCAACGCATCGAGGGAAATATCCCTGGAAGTGGTACTGTGGTCTTGGGCCCCAAACATGGGTGGGGTTCCTTTTACCTTGCCGAATCAATTGTCCAAGAAGCTGAGCTTCTTACAATTTTACTGCCACACACACGGTGAAATTTCGGATGGGGAGCTGAAGTAGAACAGGTCAGGCAGGTTCGCCTTGCAAGAAGTAGGTGACCTTCAGGATGTCTGGGGGACGTAGCTACGTTCTCAGTTGTGCGGTCCCTGTCGAGTTGTCGGGCTTCCGGTCCTTTGCTTTCTAAACCAAGCATGAAACGGTGACAGGAGTACATAGGGCATTTGGCAGATTCTGGCGGGTGAGTCGTTTTCCCGCAGGCCGGCAGATGCTGATTTTTTTTAAACGTCACCTTTCTGGCCGTAAGAGTCTTACCTCTTAAAAAAACACAACTTTTCAACTTTTTGCGGTAATATGTCTGTAAAAGATTAACTTCCCCAGGGCTTGTAGTTTTAAGGGGTAAGGAGTTATCCTACGGGTGATGTTGTTAGTTTGGAAATGCAGCCAAGGAAGCCCGGCAGAAGAAGGCGCGACAACTTGGATTTTGGGGATCGACTAGATATCTTAGAGTCTGAACGTTTGAGTTTTGAGTTACTAGGTCCCCCAGTAGTGCCCTTTTACCCCTTTTTTTGGGGGGGGAGGGTTCCCCTACTAAAAAAAATGGACTACATAAAAAAGTTGGTACCCTTATTCTAACACCTCAAATCTGGAGGACCTAGCTTACTGTGACCAGTGTAGCCCCCCCTCCACCACCCTTCAGACCCTTCAGGAAGCGGAGCGACAACTACTTCCTCATCCTCGGGGACTGGGGCAAGCCCGGCAGCCCCGGCAGCTGCCAGCGCCAAGTGGCGGCCAAGATGCGGGCCTACGCCCAGGCGCACAGCCCGGAGCCCGAAATTCGAATCAGCGGATGGATCCGGTGTAAGTCCCTGAACTTGAAAAAAACTTCCACGGTTTCAAGGTTTCCTGGTTTCCTTGTTTGCACTATGGTAACGGGCCTGACCTTTTGACCTTTTGGGATCTCTCATGTTGGGTTCCCATTGTTGGTCCGGGCCCCAGGTTAACCTGTTATATCCAGCTCTGGGCAACCGAGCCTAAATATTGCAAGTCAATCATCATAGTCAACCACGAAACCTTCGGAAATCCGCGATAAATCAAGGTTTGCGATAAGTCAAGGTTTCCTGGTTCCCTTGTTTGCACTATGGAAACGGGTTAGTAAATGGTTAGCCACTTGGGTGAGAACCACCGAACAGGGTGTTACCCAAAACTTACTAACGTGGCCGAACACCGAAGTATGCGTTCGAGTTGAGTGGGTCTTTTGTTTCAGGCTACGTTCCATTTGCTTATATGTTTGTTTTAGTTTCCCCTGTTGGTTTCAAAGGGAATCTATTTCTACAGGACATGTTTTTCCCACAGGGGGACTTCAGCAAACGGAGGTTGAGGTGTTCGTTTCTGTTCGGTCCATGTTTCCTTGTTGCTGTCAATGCCATGCATGCCAGGTCCCTTGGGCAAGTGACATCAACCTAACTGGCGCCATGGAAAGTAGGGGTTGTCAATGGGAGTAATCAAACATGAATGTCCCCACTTCACACGGATGTTCAGCTAACTTACTAAGTATACGGTTATAACCATGATTGCTAGTTTTGTTATGGACCTCACCATGTTATATTCACCTACCTACGTACCTGATTTTGTTTGATCATTGCAGGGCTTGCTACTTGAAGGGCCCAACCTCAGGTAAGTTGTCAGTAATCCACTTGTTATAGCCCACTGGGCAGGAACTTACAGCCATGGCTTTGGTCTTACTGGCCAGTTACAACGTGTCCTGCCACTTTAAGAGACCTGTCGATCGTTTTAAGCAACAGGTTTTGGGCTTCTCCCAAATGGGGGCCTTCTCCCCAAAAAGCAAAAGGGCCTTGTCCACTTCGTGCGCGCCAATTCGAATCGAGTTTTCGCTGATTCGTTTGTCACATATCTGAGCCCTGAGGGATTTTTTCCGGGTTTTGGGAAAAGGGGACCAAGTGGTGCTCCTATGCATCTTGCAACATGCAACGACAACGACGACAAATCGAGTTGGCAGTTTCGAGCAACCAACATGGGGTTTGGGTTGGTGGCTTGTATTGACACGACTCGCCACCACTCACCACCCAGTTTCCAGACCACCAAGCCAAATCACCAAATGGAGGCTGAGCTTGTCAAGGCTCCGCAAAAAAAGGGGGTTGATTCAACTAAGGAATCGGCTCCCCAAAATCGCCCCCCCCCCCCCCCCTCAATTCTTGAGTTCCATTTTAGGCGTTCATCGCTTCTTGGCGTGTCTTTCTTCGATTGGTACCGCCCTTTTGATGGTTTTACAGGAAAGCCAAAAGGAAAACAATACATGTTGGAGGTCTCCTACAAGAAGGACTGACCCTTTTTGGGTTTGGTTGCCATTTTAGTGGTAAACAAGGCCAAGGACTAGGGCCCATTGAGAGGTTCACCATGTTTTTACCAGGTTTTGATTGTGACTCAAGTGAACATCCAAGAAACCATCTCACACTTGTCCAGGAAGTTCGCGAAGTACCTACAAAGACCAGGTTTGGCTTCCTGAAACATTTGCTGTAGGTGGCTTCTTCACGCCTTAAGCCCCGGCTTTTGCGGAGGCCAACCGAGTCATTGGTAGACCTAGCTTTCCAGTCTATATAAGTGCTCGCATTTGTTATTTTTAGAAATTGTTTTTTGGGGGGCTTCGTTGTCCCTAGAAACAAGCACCTTTTCGCAGGGGGTCTAAGTTTAGCCTAGCAGTGAAAACCCTATTTATGATAAACCCCTGTTGATGAATAAGGGATGTGCCATAAACGCCAAGGTTGATGTCATTTGAAGTGTTGGGAAACCAAACCGCGGTTTAAACAAAAGGGAAACTAGGTCCCCCAGTGCCCTTCCTCCCCCGTTTTGGGGGAGTTTTTTTTTACAGAAAAAAAAAAACGGGTGCCCTGATTCTAACCTCTCCACTGGACCTAGGAAACCAAAAAGGCCAACCAAATCGACGGGAAAAAGGTGGGGAGTTTCTTCGACTGCCAGCTGAAGTCATAATAAAAGCCTGGTATTAAAATGTTCGACCCAGAACCATGCTTCAAGAATTAAGAAGGCGGCCGCAGCTGTTTATGGTTGGGATTGGCCCTTACTAACCTTCACTTACCCAGGTTTTGATTGTGACTCAGCTGAAGTCGACTTCGGAGGCGCAGAAGCTGGCGGGCAAGAAGCTGCTCTTCATCGCTTCTGTGGGGGACACTTCGCGGAGTTGGCCCCTAAAGGGGTTCCTCAAAAAAACACACCTGGAGTTTCCTTCTGACCCGAAACAAACATGGGGTCAGTACCCAAAAGAAAGGGGTCGTTGCTCAGTTTGGGCTCAGTTGGTACTGTACCCATGTTGGTTGGCTTTAAAGGGAAGCCTTCTGTTCCAGAGTTGTTTTATTTAGTTACCCCGTCTTGGTTGGTTGGTTGTCTTCATTTGGAAGCCACAGAGAGAACCACTGATTATAGATCTATGGATATTTTGGTGCGTCGTTTTTTGAGTTGCATGGTACGATACCCCCTTTTTGGTTGGTTTTGAAGGGAAACCGAAAGGACTACCACCATTTTGGTTTCCTTTTTGGTTGCCCTTTAAATCACTCCCCAAAACGGGTTTTCCCCATTTGCGGACCCAAATCATAAAAGTGTGAGTTCCCGATAGACTTATCCAAGAACCAGCCACATCCTAGCTTTAATTCGATCACTCCCTGAGTTCCGTTTCGGACTTTAGTCACTTTGTGGGTTTGGACCACTTTAGTGGCAATCAACAAGTTTAGACCTTTGTTTTTGCCAATGCGCTCGATCAGAAGTGAGTTCAGACCTTAAACCTTATGTTAACTTCGGATTCGGTCAGGGCAGCAGATGTGCTGGCATCAGCGGCCTGAGCAAACCGCACCCATCTTTCCAAGCAAGTCATAGGATCTAGTCTAAACCTCGCCCGGTCCCTTGTCTCCACCACAATTAGTAAGGCCCTATGTGGGAGTTACGTTTGGAAAAGAAGGGAATCGCATTTGTGGGAGGGTACCTGGAAGATCATGTTCCTCTTGTAGGGACCCCTGTCAGGCCATGGCAACATGGGAGTGAGGGTACCTGGAGTCTCCTGCTGACACGAATCAAACAATGGAGGCTGACCCCTTTATTTTGGTGAAGGACCAACCAATTTTGATTCAGGTCAGAAGGAAACTGACAGGGGTCCCTGCAAGAGGAACATGATCCTCCAATTGCCCTCCCACAAATGCGATGTGAGTGGGAGGGAGGGTATATTTTGGATTCCAACCCCTTGTTTTCCAAACGGAATTCCCACATAAGGCCTTACTAATTGTGGTGGAGACAGGCTTTGGGACGGACGGATATATGGGTGTGGCTCAAAATTAAACAGGAGGGGCAAACCGCAGGTTTTGGTACCCATGTTTCCACTTACCGATCGGGCTTGCGCCATTTTGGACTTTTCCGTGTTTATGTTTTTTTTTTTTTTTTTTTTTTTTTTCCGATTTCGCCACGGCCACATGTTCTACCAAATTGGTCCTTTTGGGCTGAACACTTCGCGTCTCGGCCTCCCACAACCTGCCGAGGACAACTTCTACTGGACGGGGGCCACCCCTGCGGCCTGGGACAAGGTCTGGGCAGAGCCCTACGGGGTCCACGACCAAGCGAGCCCCTTTTTCCATGTGCCCTGGCTCTCCGTGCACCTCGGAAGAGTTACCACCTGGGTGAGGGATTGGGACCTGGATGCCGAGTGGGGACTTGGAGTGGAACTTTTTGGTTTCAGGAGAAGGGACTTGGCTGTTGGCAAGTTCTGGGAATTCAGCCCTCAATGGCCATGGGTCCTATACTATCAGCCTTTGAACCCTCTATGCGCCCCATGGTGGGATCATGTTTGGGGTGTTGTTGTTTTTTTTTTTGTTGGTTCTGTTCACATTTTCTGGTAGGGGGCAGCCAAAAGGCAAAGCGTTTTGCTGCCACAGCAAGGGTTGGAATTTGTAGACGGGAAACCACCCCTCCACTAACCTCCAAACCACCGATTCGGCCGGGGCCGCAGGTTTTAGTCCATGTGCCATTTACCAGGGCAAGCCATGTTGGGTACATATTTTTGACCCACAACCATTTGTTGCTATGCCATGCAGCTTAACTCTCAGCGAATTGCCTCCAAATCGCTTAGGTGGCTGAGCCCTAGGATTCCAAAGGCCTAAAGACCCCCCTGTTCCTTGAGGTCTTTCAGGGAAACCGGGATCCTGAACCCAGCCCAATGACCCAAAGAAACCACCCTGAACCCAACAAACAACACAAGGCACAACCAATTGATCACCCTGGTTGGGGAAAACTTGGTTTTAGGGCCAAGCTTTGTGATGCCACAGAACCCTTAAGTGATGATTAGTCATAGGGAATCCGACTCTGGTAATTCCCCACAAACCTCCACAGCTTTTCGCTTCTTCTTTTTTGGTGTTCAACTCTTAGTGGCCCCAAAATAATTAAATTCACACCCGTATGGGTGTGTGTGTGTATGTTTTGTTCGTGGACCCCCGAAATCACAAACTTTTGACACCACCAAAGGGGTACCAACTCCTTTCTGAGACAGATCACCTTTACCCTGGGGTTCAACCCCCTTGACCCTAAAAATCCCCCTGCCTGCCTCGGTAAAAGGAAAGGGGGTCAAATCCACTGAGCTGCTAAAATTTGACAATTTTTTAAACCCAACGTCAACCAAGCTTCCTCTACCACCACCCCCCCACCTCCACCTCCCCCTGCCCCCCACCCCCACCTTCCCTGCCCCCCCACCCCCAACCCCCCCCACCTCCACCCCTGAGACCCTAACGCTTCCAACGTCACCCAAGCGCCCAAGCCCCACCTGCAAGCCCCACCCCACACCACCCCCACACCCAAAAGCTCAGCCGCAAAAGGCTTAGCCCCACCGAGAAAAAGAAAACAACAAAAAACCGTGAAAAAAAGGAAAACAACAACAAAAAACCAAAAAAGAAGAAGACGAAAAAACACACAAAAAAAAACAAAACAAACACAAAAAAACGCCGAGGTACGGCAACCACGACTTCGGCTCCAACGACCCCCACGCCTTTTGCCCCCACCGGGCCCCGCGGAACTTCGTCGGGAAGCAGCGCCAGCCCTACGCGAGACCTGGCGCTGGCGTTCAGGGGTGGGTGGGTGAAGAAATGCTTCGCCGGTCTTGTGCTACAAGGTTTTTTTTGGTTGCTTTTCGGTTTCTTTTTTTATTTGTTATCCTTTTCTTTTTTCTGTTTGTGTTTAGGTTTTGGGGCTGCAAGAACTTTTGGTTTGTTCTATATTTTCCCTGGTGAGTTTTAAAGAGAATAAGACATACCGCGGGAATCATGATATTGTTTTCACGGGGCAAAAAAGCAAATGGACCTGTGGGGTTTACAAATGCATGGCTCCTTTTTTTGAGGTGGTACCCCTCTCACTCCCTGAGTTCATGGAGCCGGGGGTTGGTTGCCATGTTCGTGATAAATAGCAAGCTTGGGCTTTTTCTGGCAAACACACTCGGGAAGCGAGCCTTTGTTTGTGGTTTTGAAGGGACACAACTCTCCTTGGACCTGTTGGTTTGACAAACTCGGCTTTTCCGTTGAAGCTACAGAAAGCCTGCTCACTTGCCCAAAGCCGACCTTTTGAGCTGTTAGTTTCCCTTTGTGGTTCATTGCTAGCCACGGTCCCAATAGGTCAACCTTTATTCCTGGGCCCTTTGGGCAACTGAACCTAACAACCTGTAGACTTCAGGAAGCAACCTAGTAGGGGAGCGTTGGTAAGGCTTGATGAAGCCAAGAGAGCCTACTTAGTAAGTTATTAAATTCATAAGATGTATTCCGCTCCATGAACCCCTAGCCCGATTCCCCCCCCCCCGGAAAGAAAAGCACAAACATTCCAACCCGAGCCCCGGCAAAAACACAACACACATTCGACTCCGAACCCAAACCCCACCGAACCCGACCAGAAACAACCCCCCCCGAAACCGAACACCCCCCCGCGTGCAAAAAGGAAAGAAAGACCTCCGCCCGACCGACTGGCCCGCTTTACGATAGGTTTAGAGAAAAATTGGGAGGGTTTATGGTTAGCTTCTAGGGGTTGGTGTAGTGCTTTGGGGTTGGTTTGAGGTGGGTTAAGGGTCATTTTAGGGTGGGTTTGGTGTTGGTTTGGGGCATGTTGGGGGTGGGCTTAGGTTGCTTAGCGGTGGTTTAGGGTGGGTTGAGAAATGCTTTAGGGTTTCGGGCTGGTCTAGGCTTAGTTTTGGTGGGGTTAAAATGGTTTAAAGGGATGGTTTAGGGTTGCTGTACGGCTGGTCTAGGGTTGGCTTCAGGGTTTGGTTGTGTAGGTTGGTTACCCGGTTGGGCTTAGGGTTGTTCAGGGTGAGTGTTTCTTAGAATGGGTTTAAGGTGGGTTTAGGGTTGGTTTAGGGTTGCTTAGGGATGGTTTAGGGATGGTTTAGGGTGGGTTTAGGGTGGGTTCAGGGTGGGTTCAGGGTTGGCTTACGGCGTGTCTAAGGGTGGTTTAGGGTTGGGGGTTTAGGGGAGTGGGTTTGGGTTGGCTTGGGCATGTTTCGTGGTACGGTGGTTTAGGGTTGGTTTCTATTGCCAATGGGTCCAGGTTGGTTTCGGGGTTGGTCAACGGGGGTCAGGCATTGGTTTCAGGTGAGTTTGGTTGATGTAGGGAGGGCATGTAGGGATGGTTTAGTTGGCGTCCCCAGTGCCCCTCCCCGCCTCCCACCACACCAACAACCCGAACAACCGGAACCAGCCCCCCACCCCGCCCCACCACCCGAACCCAAACCCCCGAACCCCAACCCCGCCAGAACCTCGGAAAAAACCGACGACAACACTCTGTTCTTGCTTAGACTTACAGGGCTCGAGATTGATTCTTTTTGTCAGGGATCATGATTCATGCCCGATTCAATACAAACAGCGGTAAACGCAAGTACCTTTCAAGGGCGACACGGGCCAACCTTTGCTGACACGTATGTTGAATCATGTTTAAACCATTCTAAGAGCCCGTTATGGTTGCCCTCTACCCAGGGGCCAGGATTCTAAAACCATTTCATGGCCACCGTCCGCAAGTGAGGAGCCACCAGCTGAACAGGGACAAGTACCCCGACAGACCCAGGCGGGGCATCCGACGCTTTTCCGTTGACTCCGTGGATGTCATGAGTTTCGGCGCTTCCAATTCCCTCACAGATCACCCGCAAGCTTCAGACCTTGATCCCCCCCTTTCTTGCAGTCCCCCCCCAAAAAAAAAACAACAACAAAAGGGTTCAAAATGGGAGCTTTCCAGCACCTCCCAACAGCCGCTTTTTCCCATGTTCAAACTCCCAAGTACTGTCCAACAAGCAGTTGTTGGGGGGTGATGGTCCGCATGTTTTGCATTTTTTCCCGCAGGAGCACGGATCACTACTGGCTGCCGGATTACAACTACCACTACGAGCTTCCAGCAGCAAACCTTGAGGCGCCAACATCTCCGTTTTGCTCACCAATCTAGGGGTTGACTGCAGCCATTTCCCCCAGGGTTTTCGGTGGTTTTCTGGAAAGATTCGGATCCCTGGGTTGAGAATGGGGAACGTTACCCCCAGAATCAAGGCCAACGTTTTGTTTGTGTTGCTTAAAATGGACCAGCAAAACCGGCGGAAAACCGGCGGACCGGTTTTGTGGGGCCCCCGAAACGAAGACACGAGTCACTCAAATGGACAAGAAGAGTCTCGTCACTTGCTCAGTTGTTCCGAGCGAATCGTCCCATTTTGGCACCCATTTTTAGTCCTGACCCCAAGAGGTGATCGCCTTTCAGTTCCAGGGCCCTCAGGGGCAACTGAGCAACTGAGCTTGAGACTCAGTTGGACTTTAGTCACTTTGGGTTGGACCATTTGGGTGATCTACGAAAGGTTTGGTGGCTTTTTGGGCTCCACTGAAGAAGTGAGGTTCCCGTTTTTGTTAATTTTGATCGAGTCATGGCATGTGTTTTACTTGAATGTCCAACCAACGCCAGGTAAGTAGGTGCAACAAGCATGGTTATAATGAACAAATAACTCAAGCTACCCGATAGAACCAGGATTGTGCTAAGTACGTTGACCTGAGTCACCCCCTGCTCGGATTTTTGGCCAGAGGGGGTGGTTCCTCGCTTCAGAACAGGTTCTATACTTTAGGGTCTTTGGCTAGGGTCCGGGTTCACAGACATTTCACCCGGCAGCCTTGGGGGAAATGAACCGTTTGGGGTGACCTGCGGATGGGCGCTATCCATTTCGCACTTGGGGAAGCAACAACTTGGTAGTTGCGGGCCCCAGCTAGGTGCCCTTTTACCTTTTTTTTTTGAGGGGGAAGGTTCCCCCACTAAAATCGAGCGCAGAAAAGAAGGTACCCTTGTTCTAACCTCTCTACTAGAGGACCTAGAGAGGAATAATCCCATATTTTTTCTTAGGTGCGAAATTGCTTTCGTTTATCCACGATTGAACTGAAAGCCAATAGTCATGGGGACTGGGAGGGAGGGGAGGGGGAGGGATCCCAAATAAGCCTTGATTAAGCGCTTAATGAGGCCTAAATAAAGGGCTTATTTGGGCCCTCCCCCTCCCCCCAGCCCCCATGAAATAGGGTTCCCCTGATAAAATAGACTACAGCAAAAAGGGTACCCTTATTCTAAGCTCAAAGCCAATAGGGACAATACCTTTTCAGTGCTCCCGAAATCCCCCTGGCGATTTTTGTTTTCGCGAGGTGATCGCCATCGACACCAACGGCAAGGCCCAAGGGAATTCCAAGGGTGGCTTAGGAACCCGCTGTGGGGATGCAGGGGCACCCTGTTTCCAACAACGAACCATCCGCAGTACATGTTTTCTCTTTTAAATTTAGCTGACATCCGAGTTCCTGCACTTTCACCTTGTTTGGGAAGATCATTTTCTTTGTTGCCCAGTGGCGCCCTTTTTCATTTGTTTTGGGGAAGGGTTCCCCTGCATTGACTCGCATTTATGTCAAGCATGGGGGGCGGGGGAGACTGGAACCACACATGGGCCGTCCTATTCTATGCCCTTAAGAAGGGTTCCCACTTTGTCACTGTCCATCATGGGTGGAGTTAGGCAGCACCTTCTGGGCCCTGTGTTACTTAAAGCCAACCTGAAAGCTGGTTCCCTTAAAGGTTGCCTTGGGCCACTCAGAACATCACATGTCCCCGCAAAAAAATACACCAGCATAGAAGCGAAACACGTGCCAACGATTGCACGCCAGCACCTCTAACAGCACCGCCCGACGAGCACCTCAACCAAGACCCCGAACAGCATCCAAAAATAAGACGCCAAAGCGCATCCCAAAAATATTTTAGCACCTGCGGCAGCACCCCAGACAGCATGCCCCCTAGCACCCTGCCGTCAACCTCGCAAAAACACAAGTGGCCGTCACCAGCCCCTCAAAACCATCCGGACCCGAACAGCACGGCACCCCCAAACCACCCGGCCGCCAATCTCGCAAATATGCACCCGCACCATCACCAGCACCTCATCCCAAAACAGCACCTGCGCCAGCACCCCAGACTGCATGCCCCCTAGCACCCTACCGTCCATCTTGCAACAGTGCACCTGCACTGTCACCTGCACACCCCAAAACAGCACCTGCACCAGCACCCAAACGGCATGCCCTAGCACCCTACCGTCAATCCAAATAAAGTGCGCCTGTACTACAAACAGCACCCCACACAGCACCTACACCAACACCCCAAACAGCATGCCCCCCAACCGTCAATCTCGCAAATCACTTTCCCTTCTTTATTAGAAGGTAGAAGAGGAAGAAGCTCTATAGCTTTCAGCTATCTGAGGAATAATCGAGCATTCAGTTGTAGAGCATGTGGTTCTTGGCTGCATCCTACAAGAACCTTAGTTAAATTATTTAAAGGTTAAAGAGTCACGATGGCACAATGTGGTGTTCCCTTGGGAAACCAGATGGATTGCTTTACTGTAAGAATCCAGTTTTCATTATAGTAGGACTAGACAGACAAGAACCCGTCACGTAAACCTAAACATCAACAGGGCTCCTTAAAAGATACATTTTGCCAAAAAAAGAGAGGGAAACCACCATTTACAAGGCAATGTTCAGGTGTATAGTGTAAGGATGCCTGATCAACATACCTGGTTACTTACTATCACTTCCCCGTGGCGAATCCACCTTTTCCCCTTGGTCCCTTTTAGTGGCCCGGCTGAGGGCAATTGGGCCTTTTCTTGTTACCACCACTGTATGCAGCCAGAGTTTTTTTGGGGCATAAGGTTTGTTTGCCGGCACAGGATGTAGCAACCGAATCAAATGCACTCCCAGAAAGTGACAAAGACCCCGGTCCTACTTAAAAGTCATCCCCTGGGCGCAAGTGGCAGTGGCTCAAAAAGATGTACCCAAAAGGGCCTCGTGGTAAATGGAAAAAAATGACTAAACCTGCGTAACCCCCAGCTCTTTAATTTTGAGCCACACCCAAGTCTCGGGGCTTTCAGCGCAGCGATCTCAAGCCAGGTGGACCCCAATATCATCGGCGGGGATCAATCCGGCCGGCGCCTGGCAGACACTCCAACTGCAGGGCGGGTGGTGTGTTGACCAGCTTGTTTCTCCAATTTCTGCCTTCTTTTTCAGGGCCCCTTAAAAGAAAATCATTTTGCCCGCCCATTTGAAACATGGCTTTTTCAACACCAAAATGAAGGGAAACAACACCATTTACAAGTTGCAATGTTCAGGTGTACAATGTAAGGATTCCCGTTTGTTTTCCTGTTTTGGTATTTCTTTGATTTTCTGTTGATTTCTTAGAGTACCGTAACTTTTTTCAAGACTTGTTTAGCCCTTATGCCTTATTCTCCAATAGCTGAAAGCTTTGGGGTCTCAGCCCAGATAGGCTCCGGGCTGGTCCCGGGCGGCCCTGAGGTAAGGTTCCACGAGGGTTCCACCAGGGTTCCACCAGGGCCCACCAGGGTTCCACAAGGGTTCTGCGAGACTAAAAAGAGCACCGCAATCTGTTGGGGATATCACCTGAGCTGTTTTCCTATTTTTGGTTGCAGTCGGCCCTCTTGACTTGATTTTGTTGTTTTCCAATGTTGTTCATTCTGTGTGCTTTTTTGTTCATCCACGTTTGGCCCATGTTTTCTCATGGTTGGATCATTTGTTTGTTTTTTGGCTCATGGTTGGTTCTTTTTGTTTCATGTTTGGTCCACTTTGACCAGACCCCTTGACCATACCCCTCCAGGTAAACCCCGAATGAGGAGAACGTGTCCGGGGTTTGTGGGGCTAAATTCTTGGATTTCTAGAGGTCCCGAATCCCAAAACCGATCACCTTTTGGGACCTTTGCTAGACATAATCGTCAACATCGGCCTTAGAAAGGGCTGGTCTCGCCTTTGTCAGGTATCGCTTAGTTGGTGGTCTGGATTGGTGGTTTGGGCATTTGGGTCACTGGCTTTTGTAGAGAGTTTAATGGGGGCCCCCTCCATTTCACCACCAAACCACCGATTCGGCTCCAAAGTTCAACCACATTTTGGCCAGCGATGTATCGCCAGAAAGGAGTGCGGCTTGCAAAGCTGAAGGGGTGATGGTGGCAAGAGACAAGCTCCGTGCTGTTTGTCTGTGTTCCTTCATTTATTGAAATTGATTGGTCCCTTTTTTTGTGGATACGCCACATCCCCACCGCCTTCAAAATGGAACTGGGCAGGGTGACCCCTGGAGAGCTCCATTTATGGCAACCCATTTTCCCTTTTGTGGGGAAGAGTAATCAATAGAATTGGGCCCCGGACTCCCCACCCGCAGGCCCCTCAAGGTAGGGGGGATCCGTCTACCCTCGGAAAAGTTCCCAGAATCAGCTCCCCTTTTTGCTTTTTGCTTTTTTGGGGTTCCCTTTGCTTTCCACTTTCACCAGCCATTTTTTTTGCATGGGTCCTAATTCCAGCGTAGAAAATAGGGAATTGGAGGTTCCAAGTAGAAAGGGTGGCTTTTTGTTAGTAGGTGGCTGTTTTGTTCCATGCCAAGGGAAAAGTTCCCTCAGAACTCGGTTTTGGGAGAAGCCGACGTTTCTCAGGACCTGGTGTGCGGGGGGAAGGCCGTTGGCGACGCCTTCCTGCAAACGGTGGCGCAGGCTGGCGTGGAGCCACTCGGATTGCCGCAAAAAGATAGATGGGTTTCAACTGCTAGGTCCAGTAGTTCCCTTTCTGGCATTGACTGGAACAGCGTTCCATACCACCCTAAGAATCTCCCTGAGTTCCTGGATTCACCCTGGGCAGAGAATTGTTCGTGGCAGGTGTCCTTTTTGCTAGAAAAATAGATGGTTTCTACCAGGGAAACCCATCCATTTCCCCGGGGAGGTAGATTGGTTTCAACTTACATCTTCTCAAAACATGTCTTGGTTCTCAACATGGGTTGTTTGTGAGGGCCCATGAGGATGTGGTCGGGGTTCTCCATCCCAGGGGTCTGCGTTGGAGGGGTCATGAGCCTTAGGGAACTTACATTTGCAGAAAATATGTTTTTCTCCCATTTTGATTCTAGAGGGAATTCTACAGGGTGTGGGTAATTGCTGATTTGTCCAATCCCCGTATTCAACGCCCAGCTTGCCTTTTTGGGTTCGGCAGAAGGCTCAGCCGATTGCAGCTGCCCATGGCGGCGACATTAAGGCTGCTCCTTGAGCGGGCGCGGAACAACACAGCGGGCACGGTGCTTTTGATCCAGCGCCCTGGTGGATTCCGCTCAGTGCCTTGAGTTCTTTGTATGTCTTCGGGAAGACTTTTTTCGTGCATGGTAAATACATAGTTCAAGCTTTTTAGGTCCCTCAGTAGTGCCATCTTACCCTTTTTTGGGGGGATGGTTCCCCTACTAAAATAGACTACCGGAAAAAAGGGTACCCTTATTCTCTCTTCTCTACTGGAGAACCTAGTTATGTTTTTGGGAAGACCTTTTAGTGCATGGTAAATACATAGTTCAAGCTTTCTAGGTCCCCCTTTTTTGGGGGGAGGGTTCCCCTACTCAAATAGACTACCGAGAAAAAAAAGTACCCTTATTCTAAGCTCCCTACTGGAGGACCTAGTGTATGTTTTTGGGAAGACCTTTTGCGTGCATGGTAAATACATAGTTCAGACTTTGTTTGCCAATGAGGAAGTGGGGCCCTTTACCATTTTGACATAGGGGAAACCGGGAAACTCATTACGTGCGTGCTTCCAGGCATGTAGCCACTATAAGAGACAGTGTCCATGGTAAAACCTGGTCACATACTGTTGGGTCACCTACCTTTTAATGATTTTTGGAAGCACTGCTTTTGATGAATACATCATGTCACACCAGACCTCCTGTGGTACCCGTTGACTTTTGGAAGGGTTCCCCTTTGATATGAGCGTGTGTTTCAAAAGGACACCAGTGTGTCCATGTTGGGGGTCCGGATGCCAACTAATTCGGGGTGCCAAGTCGTTTTTTCCGGGCCAAATTCACGACCCAGTAGGAAGGGAATGGGATCCCTGAGTTTCCCACAATCCCTACTTCTCGTAGCCAGAAATCCACGAGCCGAGGCACTACCCGGGCCAATGCCCGCGTGGGCTCTTTGAGAGTGCCCTACCGCCAGCACGCAAGGGCAAGGTCAAAGTTTTGTGCGCCTACGGCCACGAGCCTGGGCAAGAATCCCTCGAAGTCATTTCGGGACCATAGGTGTCCTTTTTAGGTTAGTTTTATAGAAAAATTGATGGCACGGGTTCCATCTGAACCAGTGCCATCTATTTTCCAAAAAAGACACCTATGTTCGGGACGTTTCCTCTTTGATGCTCACTCCCTGAGTGCATGGGCGAGTTTCTTTGTAAGACCTTTGTACCTGGAGTCTCCATGCCATTTGAAAAATGGGTCAATGACCCCATTATTTTGGGTAATGACCCCATTGTTAAGGGTCATGGAGACTCCAGGTAGTGGCCAACAACAAGTGTCATTAAGTTTCGTCATGTGTTGTCAGTCCACTCAGAAAGTGAGTTGCAGTTGCCACTCATCCATTGCCCTCTCGGTTGTTGTGTCGGCCTAACTTGCTTGCTTCCTGGTTTCTTGTTGGTTGTCTTTGTTTTGTATGTGTGGGTGTTGGTTTGTTTTCTTGGTGTGTGTGTGTGTTCTGTGTGTGTGTTGTGTGTGTGTGTTGTGTGTGTGTGTTGTGTGTGTGTTGCGTGTGTTATGTGGGATTGTAAAATAACCCCGCGCCTTTTAATTATGAAGGGACGTGCCCCTGAATGGCGCTTGCTTAAAAAACCCCGCAAAACGATAAGAGTAAAAAAAAAAAACGATAACAGGGCTTTCATGGGGTTGTTTGAAGTGCACCTTTCCATCTTGTCGGATGTTGCTGTGGAGGTGGCTTTGGGCTTATAGGTGCTGTTTTGCCTGCTGGGTGCCATGGCCCCGGCTGTGGATGTAATGTCGGTGTGCCAGCCTCCGGCATTGGACGTGCCGTCCGTGTGCCACGTCAAAGCCTGTGATTTGGCAGCACTGGTGCACAGAATGAGGACTGTCACCAAATTGGCATCAATTTTGAATACTGGTTGCAAGGTACGGGCAAAATGAAGCCCGCCGTATGGAGCGCAAAGTGGGCCGTTTGGACAACGCAGTGTGACTCTCGGCAGGGTGGGAAGCATCAGTGCCACCATTGGCATGCTTGTGTGTGTGTGTATTTGTGTAAGTCGCATATTGGGACTGCATCTCGCCCAAGGACAGCGAGATGTTGACCAACGAGTTTCGGCCGAGGGCTTCGCACCATGTGTGCATCCTGCCACGTGTCAGCAGTTAATGAGGGAGAAGTGTGGCTCAGAGGATTGGATTCGCATGTGACCCAATCTGTTTTGCTTGGCCGAGTTACCAGAACGCCTGGCTGGAATCATCGTGCCTTTCAAAAACAATGCGGAAGCTTCAGGACTGGCCATTGGTCCGCCAGTGGCTCTAAAGACACATTAGGGCCCCCGCTTCAAAACGGACTAGTAGCTCCCCAAAACCAGTAGTTGGCAGCCGCACAGAGTGTTCTTGGGCCTGTCCTCAGGAGGCACCGCCGAAGAAAGCGGCGTGTGCTCACGCGCCGGCTGGTTCAGCTGCAGCGCCGGCGGCACCCGCACCTCTGGCTTCTGCACCGGCGGCTCAGGCACCCATGGAGGCGGCGGCTCAGGCACCCGCACCTCTCACCTCTGCACCGGTGGCTCAGGCACCCGCACTTCTTACTTCTGCACCGGCGGCTCAGGCACCCGCACCTCTCACTTCTGCACCGGCGGCTCAGGCACCCGCACTTCTTACTTCTGCACCGGCGGCTCAGGCACCCGCACCTCTCACCTCTGCACCGGCGGCTCAGGCACCCGCACTTCTTACTTCTGCACCGGCGGCTCAGGCACCCGCACCTCTCACCTCTGCACCGGTGGCTCAGGCACCCGCACTTCTTACTTCTGCACCGGCGGCTCAGGCACCCGCACCTCTCACTCTGCACCGGCGGCTCAGGCACCCGCACTTCTTACTTCTGCACCGGCGGCTCAGGCACCCGCACCTCTCACCTCTGCACCGGTGGCTCAGGCACCCGCACTTCTTACTTCTGCACCGGCGGCTCCGGCTCAGGCTCCTGCACCTGCTTTGCAGTCACCTGCTGCCAAGCTGACAGAGCCTCTTGCTCAGAGCACGCCCGCAAAGCGACCGTTTGCAGCTGTGGAAACTTCGCCCGTGCAGACAAAGGGGTACAAACGCTTCCGTGCAAAGATGCCAGAGCCAGTGGAGTTTCAGGAGGCCCTGCAGGCGGGTCATGTCCGCGCGCGCGCGCGCGTGGAAGACGCCTCTTGCTTGGCGCGGCAAAACACTTAAGAGAGCAGCGTGCTTTGTTTCAGGTTTGTGTCCCTGGTTACAAGCCATTTACAGCCACGCCAAACCATGAGTTCTAATGCCCCCTAAAGTAGCAAACTTCGGGAAGCGGACCCATCGTGCGCCGGCGAAGCACCATTTTTGATCGGGTTGATTGGCAGGCGGCTGCTGCCCTGACGGATGATCAGCGCCAGCTGATCTTGGAGCTGGCTACTGATGTGGAGGGTGGCAACACAGGCCGCGTGGCGTACAGCAAGAATCCAACGGAGCACTGCAAGGTGTGCGGGGGGCAACGACATCAAGTGAAGTGGGGCGAGGTGCGGTCAGCTGAGCGCACCCAGGCTAGCATTCCGCGTGGGAGCTTGTGCTATTGCTGCGTCAGAGCCGCGAAAGATTTTGGCTTGAGATGCCGATCGTACACGGTGTACCGCAAAGCGGGCGCCTTGTCAGTGTGGCGCGCGCGTTCCCTTCTGGAGCGCAGAAAGCTCAGCAATTACAGCGGGGACACCTGCAATTGCGGCACTTGCTTGGGTTGATTGTGCATAGCAGGTTCTGGGGCAGTTTTTGTAACTGCAGCAAGCGCCGGGGGACACGGGCAAAAGAACGCAGCGTTGACTGGCCCTTTTCCCGCCTCTGGACAACGAAGCCCAAAAACACACCTTAGTAATAAACCAGGTGTTCGGAGGGCACTAGCCGACTGGCAGCTCAGAGGATGTCATTAGTAGGCACCAAGAGATTTTCCAACAAATCGTGGCTCGGCGCAAGTGGACTATTTTCCTTTAAAAGGGACTCTCTGGTGGTCCATGTTAGTGGACAGGGTAATTGTGTTCTGTGGCTGTTTTAAATGGACACCTCAAGGAAAACCACTTATTTTGAATTGCTCATATGGCTGGGGTCTGTTCGCATTCACTTGTGGCAGCTTAATTTGCGTCGTGGGGCCAGGCCGGCCGAGTTGGTGGGGGGACTCCGGGCTTTTGGCAGAGCGCTTGCAATTGGGTATGTCTCAAAACAGGGCATGTCTCCAATTTCTTGTTTTCCTTTTAGCTTCCCTGAAAAAAACGAACCTGAGAAAGGGTACCCTGATCGGAGCCCATGTACTTTGACTGTACTTTGGCGCAAGCGTTTGGACACCATTTCGTTCATATAAATATAAAATCACAAATATATATATATATATATATATTTATGTGTGTGTGTTGCATACATATGTATATGAGGATTGCCCCAAAACCCCCATGCACCGGGATTTCTATGTTTTTGGCTAAAGGAGGCGGAAAACCCGAGCCGGCAGGGGGATTCGAGCCTGGGACCTCTGTTTTGCAACGCCGGCTCCCCGAAGACTATTTCTAGTGGAACTCGGGCAAGTTGTAGGCGCGCAGTTTGTCCACGCATGTTCTGCGGTCAGACTCGAGGCCTAGCATCCCGAAACGGGGTTCCAAAACGATACCGGAACGATAACGAAAACGATAACGTTTGGTCACAAAATGTGACTTGCCACAGCATGGCCCACATCGCCAACATGCCTATGCTCTGGCTACAGGTTTTACACGGAGGCGTGGAAGCGTGTCAACGGACAGAAGTGCAGCTAGCTAGTGCTACTGAAGGTAAGCTTTCTGGTCTGCCGTTGCTCTTGTTGGGCGCGCCCCCCCCAGAGCTATGGATGCGGCTGCGGTTTCGCGGCTCCAAAAGACATTGCTGCAGCACCCTCAAGTGGGCCCCAGATTGAAGGCGCTGGCGCAGCGCGCGGTCCCTGGCAAGGCCAAATTTGCGGACTTGACCAAGGAGCAGCAGAGGTGGATCTTCAACGCGCTGAAGAACAAGTCGCTGAAGGAGCACTACCATTTGGAGGAGGGTTCTGGAAACATTGTGGTCAAAAGCGCTCTCGGTCTACTGGCTGTGCTGGGCGACGAGCAGGCTGCCGCAAGCTCAGTGGTTGACCAGGCTGTTGTTGCTGCGGAAGCACCGGCGCCAAAGGCGAGCCCAGCTCCAGAGGAGAGCCGGGCGTCGGCGCCCCGGAAGCGCAAAATGACAGCAAGCACTTCCAGAAAAAAGAGAGCTCAGCCAGCGCTTGGCAAGAGATGCTCCGCGGCTGCAGACCTTGCCCGGCGGGTGCTACACCACGGTCGGCAGCAGCGAGGCTTGGTGTCAAAGTTGCTGAAGAAGCTTGTGGCGCGGGTCGACACCACCTTCCCCGGCATGAAGCAAGAACTCCTACGCGACGAGCCCGTTGTTGATAATGTCATCGTGCGGACGCTTGGCAAGCTCAGAGAAGAGGCCACGCAGCGAGGTTTCCAAAGCATCGCCATTGCGGACTTGGACTTCGTTATGTCAAATGAGAGAACCTGGCCAAGGAGTTTCTTGCAGAAGCACGGCTATTGCATTGGCAGACGGGCTTGGAGGACGCTGCAAGGCGAACGTTTCCAAGGTGGCGCCACGGCGGAAAGCCGGCGGCTATGGGAACGATCCCGGCAAGGCGGAGCACCTAGCAAGGTGTCTGCAGCGACACTGGCTGTCACGCGTGCAGTGCTTGAGAGGAATTCCAAACCTGGCAGCAAGGTGGCGAGCGTCCACCAGAATGCAGATGGCAGCTTCGGCCGAGCTCGCCCAAGAGGCGACCAAGCTGACGAACGAGTGGTGCCTGGCCAGTCGCTGTTGGCAACTCCAGCCCGCATGTGGTCTGAGAATGAGGAATTGCAAAGCCTGTTCAGCCGCACCAGTTTCTACAAGGTGTTGAAGAAGCACTTTGCAGATTTTCGCGAAGGCCATCGCGACACAGATGTGTGCAGCCATTGCCAGTGCTATTGGCGGCACTTGGTCCCACGGTTTCACCAAGACTGGGCAACAGTTCAGAATGACCTCAAGAGTGTGTACCCGAACTATTTTGACCATTTCAATCCCTCGAACTTTGCCGACTGCGGAGAGGAGGCAGACGCCGCGTGCAAGTACATCAATTCTCACTGCGCCAGGTACCGCGAGGAGCGAGAGCGCAGCGGATGCGACCGATTACAGCTGCACACATTTACAGAAGCGCCGGCGCTGGTGCTGCTCCGAGGACATCGGTCTTTGCTGCGCAGCTATTTGTGGCACATGTTGTCAGCAAGGCGCCAGCAGGAGTGCTTGAAAAAGTTGATGACTCCTGAAGGTTTGCCGCTCGAGGACTCGCTCTTGGTGTTTGATTGGCGTGAAAAGATACGCTTGCCAGTGGGGCCACAAGAGACTGGAGACATGTGGCACGCCCAGCAGAAGTATGCAATCAGCTGCTTCGGGTGCTGTGTTTTTCAGTGGGAACAGCTGCCGGGAGACGAGGCCAAGATGAGGCAAACCTATTTGATGCTGATCTCAGAAATCCGTGAGCAAACTGCAGAGGCTTCCAACCTTATGCTGGAGCAGGTGCTCGCAATGGCAAATGTGTCCCGAGCTGGTTGCCTTCATTTCTTCAGTGACTGTGGCCCTCATTTTCGGAGCGCGGAGTCATTGCACCACCGAGTGATGCAAGTGTGCTTCCAGCGGAAGCAGACCGTGCGAGTCAATTTCCTTGGCGAACAGCACGGCAAGTCCTTGCTGGACGGCGCTTTTGGGACTACAGGCATGCACGGGTGGCTTGGACGCTACGCGTTGAAGAAGCCAATTCATAGCTTGGACCATTTGCTCACTGCCTTCAAAGCAGGTGCGGATGAGGCAATGGCGTTGGACCCCGAAGGCCCACGGTGGCTTTGCGAGAAGGTTGATTTCGGCACTCATCGCGCTTCTGAAGTTGGCTTGTTTGTCTCTACTGGCTTCAAGATTACACGAACATATTGCATGATGGCTTTGAAGCCTGCAAGCAGAGCGAAAAAACCAGTGGTGCACAACTTGGTCTTTTCGGACATCGCAATACCTGCTGAAGGAGCCATGTCGTATCAGATCCAGATGCACACCAGAGAAGAGCCCTTGGAGTGGAAGCGCTCGTACCTGGAAGGAGAGAAGACCTGGGAACTTGAGCCGCCGAACCCTGGAGACACCACCCAGCTGTGCCGCAAGCATGAAAGCCAGAAGGCGCGGCCGCCCCCCGATGGTCTACG